AGATGTACGTGGTTCACCCAGATTGGCTACGTCCACGGAGTAGAGGAGTTCTCATTAATTGTTAAGGGTTTATACAAGTACATAGGTTCAAGCTCTCCTTTAGTGAGTACTAGTGAATGATTTAGTACCAATGACATTAGGAAATATTGTGAGAGAATGATCTCTATTTATAGAAGAGAGTTTCTAGTTTCATTCTGACATTGACACGTTTCGTGTTGTGATTGGCTTCTAATGTTGACACATGTCGTGCTATGATTGGCTTCTGGTGTCGACACGTGTCGCACTGTGATTGGCCTCCTGGTTTGAGGGAAACTCTTCTAGGTACTTGACGGTATAACATTGACCGGTGCTCAGTAGTTTCAGGATTGGTCAAGTATGATATAAACACATTTATTAAGTAATAACCTGCCTAAAGTTATAAAATTAGTTTCGTCCTAACTATGTAACTTTATAGAGGTTTTACTGTTATAAACTCTCACATTACATTTATATTCTTCTATTAAAAAATAACATATAATACAATGCTTATATATATTATAGTCAATTTAATTAAAGTAGAATAAAATGCCTAGACCCTGCCTAGGCCATTTTTTTCCACTCGATTACCGCCTAGCGATTTTTAGAACATTGCTTTCTTCCTATCTTCTCTCTCTGAATCTTCCCCTTGGAACAATAGTACCGAACTAACTGGTTATATCATCCAGTTCTGTTTTCTGTATGGAGATGAATAGAAAATCAGACCGTTCCCCTTTGACAATGATCATTGGTTTAGTGACATATTGGTCGGTTTAGGGTTATTACTTGAAGACGCCATGCGAAAAGTGTGAAGAAAATGGAAAGAATGTTTAAAATCAGTACGAAAAGAATGTTGGAGCCCTTTTTTAACAACAAATCGTTTAAAGTTTTTGGTAAAGTAAAAGGAAAAGATTCGAGGATTTATATATGTCATTTCAAAAAATAAATCCAGTCGTCAAATCCGGATCGACTCACTTTAAGATCCTTAAATCGGACGGTTGGAACTAATGAAGATATGGAGAAAATTTCTCGTTCTTCATGTACACACCACGAATGCAGAGTCTCATCATTGCAAGCTTTCTGGCACAATATTCAAGATTGCACGTCAGATGACATATGCATAAAAATTTCTAGTTCTTAGTGTATGTGTATGCAGTGTGTGTGAGTACAATGCGTGTGAATATTTAATTAGCTCACATAGTTTGTTCATTCAATCATTTGTTTGTTCTTGTGAATTTTGGTTGTACTAAGCATGTCAAGTTGCTAATGGATTTGCTATATTTGTGAATTTCAGAAATTTAGATCGTTGGAGAGAGCACTTGGGCCTTTGGCTTTTTGAGGTATATTCATTCATTTACAATCATTTTATAACTTTGTTGTTGAATTTTTAATGTATGCTTGGATTTTAAGATGCACCTTTTTTTTTTTGGGATTTTCTCTTCTGTAAACAGAGAATTGGGCCTCAAGTTTTGGTGCATTCTATTTATTTTTTATGTTTACGGTGTATTTTGGTGCATTATCTAATTTTTGTGATGTTAGCTATGTAAAAATAAATTCAATCTAAATGCAAGCTAAAATACTTATTATACCATATTGGTTAACCTGGGTATTTGGTTTTAATTTATGTTGAATTATCTATGTTCGTCTGTGTTTTTTTGCAATTGGTTGAACTAAGATGTGCATTTTCTTGATTAATGTAATTGAAAATGTATTACGGAATCAGAACCCGCAGCAGCGTGCGGACAAGTTTTCTAATTAACTGACTATAATTGCAATTTGTGTGAAAATATCTAACAAGGTGTTGACCCTAAAAACTACTTAGCCTTTGTGGCGCGCATGCCAAATAGCTAATGAGCTAACTACGTCCTTTGGTTGAATGCGATTGTGCTAACTCGACAACCGAGCTCGGTCGATGAGTGAATGAATGTGCTGGTGGTGTCGAACACGTTGCTGACTTCTATAGCTCGCGACTGCAGGCGAGGAAGGAACTTGTCTTGGCCTCTGGGTTCTAGAGCCCAAAGACAAGGCTGTAGTTACTTCAAAGTTCATGAATTGTTGGCATCGGGCTCAGCTACTTCAATTATATTTGTGCAAGTATAAGTGCACCGATCGGTATCAGACTATATGTACACAAATACTGAAAAGTACAAACTGTAAGGTGTGTTTGATGGAGTCATGAAGGTCAGTGTTTTCCCAAAGATGAAAGGGTTTTGCGTAGAGCGAGAAATTGCGCAGGGTAGATTTATGTCTTGAGTTGAAGGGCCTTTGAATGTTGAAAACCTTTTCTATTTGTAGGAGTGATTTTCACCTAGTGCCGACGTAGAGTCCTACTCGGACAAAATCTCCTCGGCATATCTTGATCCAATAACGAATTACCTTCTCATTTGGATTGGACTCGATCACTCCTTCCAGACTTGGGACTCTGAACCTAGTCATCTTTTGGTATACAATTCACTCCTTGTTTTAACCAGACCCTTAGAATATTACGAATCTTCCTATGCCATCCGGATTCTTGATTGAATCAGGATTTAATCGAATCCGTCCTTGATTTTCAAGTGTCCATCATAAAACTCGGCTACATACTTTGGGCTGAGCTTCTTGTCCAAACAAGTCTGTCTAACTATGGACTGAGCTTATAATCTTACTCAGCCCAAGTCCATTAATTTGAGCCAATAACAAGGCAAATCCGAAAAGAGCAAAAGGGATTTTATTATTTGGGAGACAAACTTTATAATTAATTCGGAATCGCGCACAACCGAACAAGAGGAGACAGACAGCGTGCAAAAGATACCTTCAATCTTGGCATATGGAACCGAAGTTTCTATATTTTCACAAAGCCACCGAACTAACACGCGAGTCAGCAGTCAATCACCAACCAACCAAAACTTCCCCCATACCATCCCAGAAAACTCCACCACCCACACCGAAGCTTCAAGAACTCATCGGCCCCACCCCCACCTCCTTCCTCAATCCCCCCATTATCTTCCCTCCAGATTTCTCTAAATTTGCACAATCCCCGCCTCCCAAAACCAACCCAATCTCCAGGTCTTCATTCTCCTCGCGGCATTTAGTTTCGTTCAGGCATTTTCACAAACACCTCGATGGCGGCAGAGGACGGCGCGGTCACAATCTACAACAGCAGCGCAATCACCGACGCCAACAACAAGAAGAAGCCATATTCGATCAAGGTCGGCCTCGCCCAGATGCTCCGCGGCGGCACCATTGTTGAGGTGAACACCCCCGAGCAAGCAAGGCTCGCCGAAGACGCGGGCGCTTGCTCCGTCATCGTCTCCGACCCGCTCCGCAACCGAGGCATTTCGCGCATGTCCGACCCCTGTCTCATCAAGGACATCAAACGTGCCGTTTCGATACCCGTCGTGGCCCGATCACGGATCGGGCATTTCGTCGAGGCCCAGATCCTCGAATCAATCGGCGTCGACTACATCGACGAGAGCGAGTATCTAGCGATGGCGGACGAGGAACATTTCATAAACAAGCACAATTTCCAGACCCCTTTCATCTGCGGAGCTCAAACGCTCGGCGACGCGTTGAGGAGAGTGAGAGAAGGCGCGGCGATCATACGAATCCAAGGCGATCTAACCGGGTCCGGCAACGTCGCCATGACTGTAAAAAACGTCAGATCCGTGATGGGTCAGATTAGGCTGCTCAACAACATGGACGACGACGAAGTCTTCGCGTTTTCGAAGACGATTCAAGCACCGTACGACCTGGTTGCACAATCCAAGCAAATGGGTCGGCTGCCGGTGGTGCTGTTCGCCTCCGGTGGCATCGTGACGCCGGCCGACGTGGCGTTGATGATGCAATTGGGTTGCGACGGAGTGTTTATCGGGTCGGATGTATTCAATTGCTCGGATCCGTATAAGCGGGTGATCGACATTGTTCAGGCGGTTAGGAACTACAACGATCCGCATGTGCTGGTGGAGGTGAGTTCCGGGTTGTCGGATCTGATGGCGGGTTTGGGTTTCGGTGAGGACAGGATCGAACAGTTTGGCAGCGGCCACGGAGGTGTTTGATTAGGCGACTTAATCATGTAACGTAGCTCGAAACTCTTTCTTTGCTTGGTGTTAAAGCATAGAGTAATGTTATTATACATGGATATCTGCGTCTCTCTGTTGCGACTAGTCACTTGTGTCCATTTTTTCATGTTGTATTGAGGCCAATTTTGTGAAAATGCAGATAGGATTGAGAATAATAATTTCGTTTGTTCGACTCCGTCGAGATGTTTAGGAATAATGATCTACTTCATGTGAGGTTAATGAGAATAATTTTGTTCATCCAGACGAGTTGTATTTTGTTTTGTAATTTCGATTGAGTGTTGATTCGTTTATTAGACATGTTTGCAGAAACTTTTCTTTTCGTCATTTCAACGAGCGATATATGCATATGTGTCAAATTGAATAGTGCGAGTAAGCAAGTACTGCTTGTTACGTGTAAGGAGCCAAGAATGAATGTCACAGCAGCTTTAGGAGGCTTGAGTGAGAATAACAGAATGTGGAACAATGAGATTGATGCATGATTGATTGTTAAGGTGATTTTATTTTTCGGGGATTCTGGGGATGGTTGAGAATGCGAGTTCATCAGTATGTACTTGGTCGTGCGCATGAATAAAAAGGTCGTACCCAGTACACAAGGCTCCCGCTTTACGCAGGGTTTGGAAGAGGTGAATGTCGGCTAGCCTTACCCCCATTTATCGTGCGCATGAATAGATTGATGAAATTTTCGATGGCTTTTTCTATTATCTAGCGAAACCACGGTCAAGGGCATGGGCTTGGCAGAATCAATGGGAAAGAAAACCCTATTGAGCTCAACCCTAGTTAGTTAAAGAATAGGTCTCTCTGCCCATTGCCAACTGATTTCGGATTTCAGATTTTAGGTCAGATTGTTGAGGCTGTGTCTAGCATTGCAACAAAATAAAACTACTGTATTGTCAGCTACTAGCATGGAAATGCTAATGGCAGGGGACACTAGTGAATGGCTGAACCTGAAGAATTCTGCCCATTTAAATCTGCTGTCTTTCCTGTTACTCACCATGTGGGTCTCCTTTCCTAGGCTATACATAAATGGAGGGTGCATTTTACACAACTCCTGCCATATGCATATATCGCTTGAGAATCTGGTTTTCCTCGCTCTATTGCGAAGATTAACCTGCACCAAGTCAAGAAACATGTATTTTTCTGAACGGAGTTGATGCAGGCAGGTCAATAGAATCATCCGGTAGGGTAAGATAGGGCATTCACCGCAAGATCGGTTGCAGCATTGCTATATAGGATTAGGAACCGGAGCAATCTCATAAGCAGAAAAAATGGCCGCAATCACCAGAAATCTGGTCGCATTTGCAACAGCCAGAGCACTCAGTATCCGTCCTCTCTTACACTTACGGAAGGATTCACAACTCCTGCCAGCCCAGTGACTAAATCGGAATAACGGAGTAGTAGCTATAAAAAGTGTGTTACCGTGGATAGTGTATACAGAGGACACATTCCTTTTTACTTTCCGCACACACCCTTCACCCTTTTTAGCTTCAAACCAAACTAAATTGTTCTTCAATTGGCTCGGTTTGGTTTGATTGAAAATTCTTATAAAACAGAAGTATACCGTACCAAATCAGTTTTATTTCGCAGTTTTGACTTTCGTTTTGAAGAGAGAACTACTTGGGTAATTCCCAATTCCATTTTACATTCACTTTCCCTAATTGGGTAATTCCCTCCCAATTCCAAATTCTGTTTTTCCTCTGAACTTTCCTCCTAGAATAGGCACCTCAGAGCAATCTCATAAGCAGCAAAAACTGCCCCATTCACCAGAAACGCTCTAGAAACCGCAGTTCCTAGTCCACGCCAGAGCACACCATAACCATCCTCTCTAACGCTCTTCTGAAAGCAATCAACGATGCCGGAATATCTGGGCGGGTACTGAGACACAACCTGAGCCTGCAATCTCGTTTTCACAACGTCTAGGGGATAACAACAAATCCAGCTGGCTACTCCTGCAAGCCCTCCCGCCACCAGCATTGTTTGCAAGCTCTCTTCCCCGGTCCTTCTGCAGCCCGGGTGAAGCTTCTCTCTCATGTACTCATAAGTCCAGAAGTAGAAACCGAACGACGGTGCATCCCTCAGGACAGTAATAGAAAGTCCTCTATATATTCCCCTTAAGCCTTCTGCTCTCATAATGCTTTTGGCAACATCTATAGGGCCTTTTGGGGATTGCAGCTGATGAGGTTTCGATTTTGCATCGGTTTGGAGTTGAAGCCGGATTTTTACGAGTTCTACAGGGCTGAGTATTAGGCTCTGTATAGCACCTGTGCCAATTCCCCCTAGATAAACACCTTTGTATGAAGGAGGGTCTTTGGTGGAAACGGAAGGATCGCAGGTTCGGGAGAGGATGGAGTATACCTGGAAAACTATGGCATTCTGCAATCAACAAATCATTTGTCAGCATCGATCAATTTTTTTGAATTGGATGGTTTATGCTTAATTTGGTCACAATTATTATATGTTGCTTTCGATGCAAGCAAAAACTTGTCTACGAAGGCCATGTAAATTCTGTTTTGTCTAGGGTTTATCTATGGGCGATGGTTTTAAGCACCAACATCATATGTTTCGAGAGATTCTTAATAATTTTCGGTTGTACCAAAATCACATTATAAAATAGACACATACAAAATGATATATAACGGCCCACAAGACAGATTATTCAGTATTCAACCAAAAACAATATCAATTTATGAGTCGATAAGTTTTGTGGATATTATGGCCCATTGCTAGATAGTGACGTGTAAAGAGAAACAAAAAGCAAGTTCGTCTGAAATGCAAATACTATTAACAAAATAAAAATTGACAAAACCTACCATTACCACCACCCCACAAAAAAGGCTTTAAGTCTCTATTACAAACACGTAATCGCACTTGTGATTTGAGTCATCACTCATAACACTAACAATCTCTAATGACCAAACCACCAGATTTGTTTTGTTTTCTACTTCTATTATATATTTCGTAACCTCACACCATTCACCACGTCTCTTTTTATAAGAAAATTATAATCTTCACTTTTGTTTACGCATAAACTTACGGGTCTGGCTTCAATACTACAAGTGTTTCAGTTGTCGGATTCAATTTTCATAAATATTAGATCTTTTATCTTCAATCTTAATCATTTATTTTCTATATCACTCAATATACCCTTTGAAATACGGGATCGGACTAGTGTGTGTGACATCTACATGGAAGTTTATTAAACAGTTGTCACCTTAGTATTCCAATTTCCAAGAAATGGTAACACCAAGGGCATTAACTAACCTCACAAACATCTTGTGATCAACATGAACAAACAAAATCAATCAATTTACAGCTAAAAGAAAGTAAAGTAAATATGAGATAATTTTTGTTAGATAAAAAAGGAGGAGGAGGAGAAGAACCTGGAAGGTAACGGCTGCCAGGGGAGCAGTCATGCCCCTGTAAAGGGCAACGGGGCCTTCAGCAGAGACAACATTGCGAAGGATGCTGAAGGCCGATGCCGAATGCGAATTCTGTTGCAAGATCCGGAGAGTGTCGAGCGGATAACCAGAAACAACACCAGCCATCCCTCCAACCCCTCCTGCCACAAACTCTCTTCCCCAACTGCTCGCAAGAAACTCGGGCCAGAAATCCATTTTCCCATTCACCAAACACCCCAAATTCCTATTTCCACCGCCCTATCCTCCTCTCTGATCGAAAACCAATTCTTGTTTCCCCTTTTCAGAGTAACCCAAATCAAAATTTCGCCTCAAATTGTAGGATCTGTGTTAAAAGTTCAGACCTTTATCTCTCTGTCCCTCTCTCTCTCTGTTGGATTCTCTGCTTTTCTCTCAAAATTCGGATTCAGCTGGAAAACCCAATTCAGATACAAAAATATATACAGTTCTGGAAAGGGTTGTGGGAATTTCCTTTCTGGGTTCTCTGTTTTCTATCAAAATCTCCTGAAAACGATGCAGAAACAACAAAATCAACCAAAAAGGGAAAAAGTTATCTTTCTTTTCACTTCAGTCTTTTTATCTCAATTGCTGCAGAGGCTGTTTACGGATTCCTTCAACACCGTGGAATCCAAATTCTTCTCTCTCTCTCTCTCTCAACAGAAGCCACTGGTTTCTAATTTGTGGGGAGTGTGCCTAAAAAGCTAAGCGCGAAGGAAACGGCCAATATTTTCTTTTCAGAGAAGCAATCAGGGGGCGCCAAGTGGACCACTAGCAGGCTCACACGTGGCAGCTGAGGATGACCTAGTGCTTTCATCCTAGTGTACGTTAACCAAAGGTCTGGGATTGTGAACTTGTGAATCACATCCCAATCCAACCAATTTTCAGTGGTTGGCTGATGCAAGCAACAAAATGACGAAACCTGAAAGCTTCTGGCTGCTGGTGAAAGAATTACATGACACGAGATACACCGTCATCGTGAGCTTCTCGTTCAAATAATCGACTTATGTAAATTTTTTTTTACGTACTATTGTATTGTTAGTAGGAAATATTATGATGATAGTATATATGTGTTGTTTAAGTTGTTCTTGACAGCTCATGTAAGGCCATTTCTAACCAAGGGTTAGAGGTAACTTTTAGCCTCAATTTGAGCAAAAATTGTCTTCAGTCAAGGGCCAAAGGAATAAGTGCTAAGTTTAGCTAAAGGCAGGCTATACATAGCGAGCCCTCAAGCTCCTCGACGGACCGTAATATGTGTATCCTAAGCTAAGATTGAAAGATTTAGCAGTATATGATTGGAGATGAAAAAAATCTAATCCTATATTATACTTTAAAATATTAATTTTTAAAGGTTAAAACATAAATAAGACTCAATTGATATGCAGTGTATCTATTACGTACTATTATTATAATATTTTCGGAAAATTATATACTTATTTTACAGCGAGGGGTTACACATTTCAAAACTGAAACTTCAATTTCAGACCCACTCACACTTGTTTTTCGCCCCTTCAGGATTTTAGTGGCAAATGTTTCATGAGGACGAGAATTTTTGGTAAAAAAAACTATCACGCAGGAGACTTCTCCTTTAGTCATCTTCCAGGTGTCAAGAAACACAACTTGATTTGAATGTCTAAATGAATATTCCGAAATGTATCAATTTAGTATCAGAGTTACGTGTCGTAATTCATTTTGTGGGGTAGGTATAATTATCATGTGAAAAGTTGCAGGAGATTGCACAAGTGGGTTTGTACAAGGTTTGGCCTTTTGTGCCCCAAATTTATAAACATGCGATTGATTGTTTGTTGGGCAGAGTGACATCACTTTCGACATTGCTATGGAGGAATTTGGATTTATACACTCAAATCAATCAATTTGCTTGTTTGAGATTGCTGTATTATTTTTTTAAACTACTTTTTATTGAATGGGCGTAACTCTAGTTCTCTCCGAAGTGAGAGTTCTTCTCTCCAAAGTGAGAGTCTTTCTCACTGATTTTGTGAGATCTTCAGTTTTAAACACTTTTGGTGGCACCGGCCTTAGCTTTGGCTAGGGTCAGTTGCTAGGTCCTCTTCTCCCTCTTCTTTTTTTGCTCTCCCTGCATCTACAGTTGCTTCTCCCAAATTTTCAATTCGGCCTATTGAATTTCCCAACCTCCGTGGGTTTCCTCTTCCTGGCCCATCTTTGCTTAGATTTTCAGCCATGCTCTTTATTGAGTTCGTGCGTAGAGTTCCAGTACTCTCACCGGCTTGGGTGTTTCCAACACCATCACGTTCTCCTTGGTGTTTGCCGTTTCCGGCAGTGTTGCTCGGGAATTTTTCTGAGGTTCACACAGGTGGTTGGCCTCTTTCGTTTGAGTGCCGATTACCTCTTGCTTATAACTGTGCACAGGAGGTGTTTGAGAAGGAGATGATTGACGATGGTCGAAGAATCGGCTAGCTTGAAGCTCCTCGGATCAACTGTGGAGAAAGTGGTGGATGCTTCTCGAATATTCTTTCTTTTTTGGGCCTTCGAACTTTTTTATGTTTCTGTTGTTTTGTTTTTAGGTCCTTTTTTGTTGTTTATAGGTGTTGTTGCGTCTCTGTTCGGTTGTAATTTTGTGTACTGTGTGTTTGTTTGAAAGAAATTATCTTCCTTGACCAAAAAAAGAAAACTGTTTTTTACTGTGTTTTGAGAATAAACAAATATGAAATAGAATAGTTAAATGTTGGTAATTTATAATTATAAAAGTACTTTTAAATTAGTGTCAATATTTGTTAAATTTTCATGTAAAAGTACCTGAGTTGTTTTTTAATTAAAAAAGACATTAAAAAGAGTGACTACGGTCGCAACCAATCCTCATACAATCAAAGAAATAAGCTTTGTGAGCAACATTAGGTAAGGTTTATCCCATACATGAAGGTTGTTAATTTGAAAGTCAGTGCTCGCAATAGCATCCACCAAGAAGTTTACTTCTTTATAAACGTGCGCCCAAGAGACGAAATCAAAAGATGCTGCTAAACCTTTAGGGCTTGTTTGGTATCCTATTTGAAATTTTTTATAATTTCTCAAAACATTTCTTAAGAATTTTTCTTGAAAACAGTTTTTGTTAAGACTCAAAAACTTGTTTGGCATGCAAATTAAATTTTTTAAATCTTATAACTTGTTGATGCACAAAACCGGAGGGGTCTTGGAACAACGTAAATCCGACCGTGAATCTGCAAGAAAGTAAATAACACAATATGTATCGTGGTTCACCTCAATGTTTGGGTTACGTCCACACTAATTATTGTATTTCTCTAAGATGTTGGAGAGGGAGAGAGAGCTCTGAATATGAGAGTGAGAGCTTTGAGAGAGCTTAGAGCTTAGGGGATGTGAGGAGGCTCCGGGTTCTTGAGGGTGAGGAGGCCCTTTTATAGAACAAGGGCTCATCCCCTCTTTACATATTTGCCCCTCCATTTATTACATAATTACATTTGAGTCCCCCAAGTATTTATACGAGATCTAAATACGGAGGCCCTAAGTATGGTACAAACAATAGTCCCCCAAGTCTTCAGTCAAGAGAGTCTTTTGGCTGGAGACTTGAAATTCAGTTCATGTGTGGGCCGAAGTAACTAGATGTTGTCTTGCACTGATACTTGATATAAGGTGGTGCTCAAAGTGAAATGATGTTCAACTAGAAGTAGCACATGTTGCGAGGCTGCTCGGTTCATGGCTTATGTTGCCTTGGTTGGCTCGGCTTGTGGCGTTTGAAGATGAAGGGGTCCCTTTTACAGAATAAGGGCTCACTCCTCAATACATAAATGATGGGTTAGAGTTGATGCTCGCGGCGAGGCGGTTGCTCAGTAGGCGGTGATGCTCTCTAATGGTGGTGAGGGAGTCCCTTTTATAGAAATAAAGGCTCGCTCCTCAATACATAAATGATGGGCTAGAGTTGATGCTCGCAGCGAGGCGATTGCTCAGCAGGCGGCGATACTCTCTAATGATGGTAAGGGAGTCCCTTGTCCCTTTAATAGAATAAAGGTTCACTCCTCAGTACATGAATAATGGGTGCTTTCTAATGAAAGTGAGGGAGTCCCTTTTATAAAATAAGGGCTCGCTCCTCATTACATGAATAATGGGTGCTCTCTAATGAAAGTGAGGGAGTCCCTTTTATAAAATAAGGGTTCACTCCTCAATACATAAATAATGGGCTAAGTCCCCCAAGTATTTTTTTTTATGAGGCCCAATATATGGTACATAGTGTAGTCCCCCAAGTATTCAGTCAATAAAGTCTGTTGGCTAAAGACTTCAAATTGAATCCATGTATGGTCCGAAGTGGCGGTTGTTCGGAGGCGGTATTTGTATACCCTGTACTGAAGCTTTGTAGGTGAAGCTTTGAAGCTAAAGCTCTGTAAATGAAGCTTTCAAAGCTGGAGCTTTGTAAATGAAGCTTTTGAAGCTAGAGCTCTGTAAATGAAGCTTTTGAAGCTGATTTCCATAAGTGATGCTCATGAATGTTTATGTTGATTGACATGAATGTTGACATGAGTGATGTTCATGAATGTTGACATGAATGATGCTCATGAATGTTTATGTATGATTGACATGAGTAATGCTTATAAATGTTTATGTATGATTGACATGAGTGATGCTCATGTATAATTTTGGAGTACTGGACGTACTTTTGATCACCTGGTTGGTGATAATAGCGGCATGTTGTCGAATAATTTTAGAGTACTGGACGTACTTTTGATCACCTGGTTGATGATAGTAGCGGCAGGTTGCCGAATAATTTTGAAGCCATAGGGCATGGCTCTTTTAGGCATATGGGCCTTGGCCCTCCACATAACATTCCAGTCCATTATTTTGGGTTTGACCCTTTTTTTTATTTATTTAATTTTTTTTTACTACCCTATGATGGGGTTTATACAGATGTCTTCGAAAGATAAGAAAAATAAATTACATCATTCAGAAAAGCTGATGCAGATATGGTTGGATAATGGGATAACATGTGCAGCTATTGGAGGAAAACTTCACGTGAAGGCAGGTTTGGTCAGCAGGCATGGTCTCTCATACTTTGATACTTTTGCATGTTCTCCGAATGGGTTTTTCAAAATGGGAATATACATGATGAAAAGTCAGTATACTTATTCAAGTGTTTTCCTCTTTCCTCTTTTTCCTTTTCTTTTTCTTTTGCATTGTCCCCCATATGCTGGTTGATGATTTTCTTGCTTGTCCCGCCTCACATGATTTTCTTGCTTGACATTAAAGTGACAGCTGTTTTTCTGCCATGCCATGCCGTTGGGTTTCCCACTGCCTGTGGATGGGCCGATTCTCTTGCTGAAGAAACTCAACCGGAAAATGCTTGGTACGACAGGAGAAAGAGCATGGGGCTGTCTAGGGTATCATGTAAACTCATTAAATATCTCCACGCAAAGCCAGCAGTTGATACTGCTCCAATAACACTTCCTGCAAGACCAAAATTCACTGTGATTGTGGCGGACACTGGTAGCTACAACTGGTGCATCAACAAGTTCTAGAATCCCAGAAATTATGCAGCTGGAGATGTCAAGGTGCTGCAAATTGTTGAGTTGGAGAAAGCAAAACAGCTGCAGAGTGCACAAATCGTTGTGGGAAAGGTCGAGAAATGTAAGGTTCGGGAACCCAGAGAGCTGGCCCAAGTTGGTGTACCGGTTATATGAGAGATTGAGCTCCTGGATCGAAGAAACAGAGTCGTTTCCGGATGTGTCTTCGAGTCTGAAGCTTCCTCCGAGCTGGTTCTTGGAGAGATTGACTCGGACCAGGTTCGGGAGGGACTAGAACCAGCCCGGGATGGAGCCCTTGAGATTGTTGGAAGAGAGATCGAGGTCCTGCAGATTCGACAAGTTTCTGAGGTACTTCCATGAGATTATTCCGCTTAGGTTGATTTGAGTGATGGTTGGGTTGGAGCAGTTGGGTCAGTTCGAATTTTGGAGCCAGGAGAAGTTGAAACCAGAGACTGATTTGAATGCCTTGGAGATTTGGGCTTGGTCTGTGCTGTTGCTGGTGGATTCTGCTTCTACTGATGAAAATATCTTTGCCGTGGCCAAGATTCTTTTTGCAATTGTCGCATAAGCTGAGAAAACTCTCAAACAGATAGCTTGACCCGTTTGACTTCCTATCTGTGTTTGGGTTTTGCAGATCCACGGTGGAGGTGAAAAATTGAAAGAGAACCGACATAATTTTTTGTGTCGTTTCTCACAGACGGCGCCAAATGTTGATGCACAAAACCGAAGGGGTCTTGGAACAATGTAAATCCGACTGTAAATCTGCAAGAAAGTAAATAACACAAGATGTATCGTGTTTCATCCCAATGTTTGGGCTACGTCTACACTGATTATTGTATTTCTCTGAGATGTTGGAGAGGGAGAGAGAGCTCTGAATATGAGAGTGAGAGCTTTGAGAGAGCTTAGAGCTTAGGGGATGTGAGGAGGCTCTGGGTTTGTGAGGGTGAGGATGTCATTTTATAGAATAAGGGCTCCTCCCCTCTTTACATATTTGCCGCTCCATTTATTACATAATTACATTTGAGTCCCCCGAGTATTTATACGAGATCTAAATACGGATGCCCTAAGTATGGTACAAACATAACTTAAACTGGATAAAGAGATCCAAAAAGAGGAGGTTAAGAGAGAAAAAGGAGAGGATAAAAGAAAGTAAGAGATGATTAGAGGAAAGAGAAATAAGTGAAAGGATCAGATGAGATATATAGGAAGAGAAGTGAGAGAAAGAACAAATAGAATGAAAAGAGCGGATTAGAGGAGAGACGAAAAATGTATTAAAAAAAAAGAAGGGGGAGAGAGAAAGAAGAAAAGAGAGAGATAGATTTGGAGTGAGAGGGGAGGAGGGAAAGAAAAAAAATGAGTGAGTGTAAGTTTAAAAACTCACTTTTTGTGTTTTTAGATATTTTTTAGTTAATCTTGAATTTAGTTTTTGAAAATAGTCCTACCAAACAAGTTTTTAAAGCTTAAAACTTGAAAATTGTTTTTGAGTTTAAAAAGTTGGATTCAAGAAGAATTCCAAACGACTCTTAATATCTCAAATAATAAACTTCAAACGCCAAGGAACTTTGCAAGACCCTAAGATTGAATCAATCACAAGCTTAGAGTCTCCCTGCACACAGAATTTCTCGAAGCCTCTACTTCTTGTCATCCAAAGTGCATCTCTCAAAGCCAGAGTTTCAACAACAGATATTGAATGTTCCCCCAAACATCTAGCACCAACAACAATTGGGTTTCCATCCTCATTCCTGATTATGAAGCCCACTTGGGGGATTCCATCTAATTTAATAAGTCTATTGGGAACTGCTTTAACACTTCCGAACACTACTTTGAGTTCTTTCCTTCCAACTAAATTTTTTAACCTTATAAGGAACATTAACTTCTACATTCTATTTAGCAACTCAGTTTTTGAATTATTTCATGTTACATTATTTTGAATCCAAGTCGCATATTTGACAGTTCATCGACCATTGGCATTCATGCCCCAACAGATCGAATCATTTCTATCAAATTAGGTTCGAATTTTGTGGATTGTGAATTCGATATCAAATTAAGTTGCCCATTGTGTGGCATAACCAAACTCCTCCTCCCCTTAGTGTTAAAAATACTACGTAATTGATCTTCCTGTATGAGACGGACAAGTGGAAAAGGAAAAATCCAATTATGGGTCCAGAACAAAATGTTGTGACCATTTCCCACAAAAACAGTGCGCGGGATTTTTTGCGTTGTTTCATATATGTTTTTCTCCGTAACACAAAAACAGACCGGCATGTTGTAAGATATTCGAGAGCCAATCTCGAAATCTCATTGATATCTTAGAGAATAACAAATAAAAACAAACATGGTAACACTAGAAACAACTCAGAAAAGCTTAAGATTGGACAACTCAATTTATTTAGACCGGGTCATAATGTTACACACTGAAATTCACTCGAGCATCTCGCGCACATTAGATGCTCGACAAAAACATGAATTGAAAGACGTTAACACAACAGAGTTCATAATTACAGCTCAAGAACAATATATTGTATCCCGGATTGGGGTTCGATAAACCCACTCATTTCTTCCCGCTTTTCTTGAGCCCAGAACCTCCGAAGGACCCTTTCTGTTGTGCCTTGGCTCTAAGCTCCTTCAGTGCCTGTTTATCACAAGCATGATAAGTTAGTAAATAATTTATCACAACACTCGATAAACGAACCGGATTATGTTAAGAAAAACCTACCTTTTCCTCCTCTTTCTTCTTCTGAAGGTTGGCCAAATCGGACTGCACAATAGAAGATAAAGATTCTTATTCCAGGACATAACACGTAATTTTGAAAGGCACTGAAAAACAAGCTAATTACTTCATGAACTTGAACATGTATTTGTACAAGGATAAGGTTCAACGTACAGTTGAATATAATGACACAAACCACCATGGGCGAAATCTAAAGTATAAAGATTCAAATATAAGCGCAGTTGAGAACAATTTAGCTGGGGCAAGTTTAAAATAAACACACAGTTTCAGAAGCTCCTTGTTTCTACATTCAAAACATGCAAGATTCAACAGAGTGACAAAGGAGTCATAAAATAGCATAGCCTGTAACTGTAACACATAAAATATGCTCCGGTGAACAGGGCAAAAACAGCGTTTTTCAAAATTCAAGCTATAAGCCTAATACAATGCGCATACTATGAGCTGAACATTGAGCATCTTCTAGTCGGAGACACAGAGAATCCATCCGTTTATATTTGTTTGACACAAATTTCCAAGGTTACTATGCCAAATCTATCGAAAAATAGTTATTTGCATTATTGTTTCCACAATCGAATCCAACGTTACAAAAAACAATAGACCATTCTTTGAATAACCTCAATTCCTACGAAATACAAACTTTAGGGAAGAGTACTAAATAAAATCACCCAGCTCCTACCTACTGATTAATCAAACAAGATAACGATTTCAACTACATACTAATCCCTTAAGCATAAGTTTTACCTAATAAATGGGATTTTAAAATTTCAACATACAGTACAAAAAAAAATCAGAGCTAAAAGGATCCGATCCACCCAAAACACAAATCTGAAATCATCATCCACCTAAAACATAAACCTAAACATTCCTCTAATTATTTTCCCATTTCATATACCCAGTAAGGTCCTGAATAATAATACCACCAAAGCTACCAACTTCATCATTCAAACATAATCAAACAATTAATCATACCTCGTCGTACTCCTTCTTGTCGGCCTTGGGTGCCTTCAAGGGCTTTGCTTTTCCACCTGAAAAATAAAGCACAATTTCATACTTCTGTGTTCGAAAAGCTTAACAAATTTCTAGGGTTTTTTTTCCCCTAATTTCCGAATTGACAAAAAATTGGTCGGAATTGAAATTGAATCTTTAAAATCTAGGGTTTTTATCGTAAAGGACATACCTTGCTTGGAAGACATGGCTGGGATCTAGGGCAAAAGGCTTGCTCGGTTGGTATTTGAGAGCGACCACAAATCCACGGGAGTCAGGACAACCCTACTTCCAATAACACGCAGCCGCCCTTGTTCATGAATCGTTCACCAATCACTACTATATATTGGATATTGCACGTGGTACTCACATGCGTGAATCAACCCCTGTTTATGATCTGGCATGAGTCAAATTCCTTTTGGTCATCTATTTCAAATTTAGTATTTTACAATCTGAGGTTTTCTTTCTATTGTTTGCTCATTAAACCAACAAAGTCTTGCACGACTCGTTAATCCGATACGTTATAAACATATTTAGTTGAAAGACAACCATATCTTTCATTGTTGATCCATCTGTTTAAACATAAATTGCTCATTCAATTGCTTGGGTCCGTAAGTGGTGGATTGTTCTGGTAGATAGTTTAGCTTAAATTAATACCTCTTGGTAGGGACGAAGTCAGAGATTTGTATGAATAGAGACATCCTCAAACAACAAAGTTACAATTAAAAAGCTAAAATATTTACTGAACAAAACACTTATATATTAATCCATAAAGTTTTTCAAACATAACACTTAGAATCATTGTTGGCAAAGTTAGCCCCATTGATATTAAGAGAAATGCTAAAGAGACTTTCTCAAAGTGGAACTCTCCATTGACTCTCTACTACCTTATGTTTTTTGCACAATGTTTAATAATGTTGGTACGAGAATTATGCTAAAAACATTAGATGACGAAGATGTAAACTTTTAGAAGAGTCTCCTTAGCATTTCCCATGATACCAATTAACATACATGGTTGGTCATTGGGATGCAAAGCTATACAATTTTTTTTGCACCAAAAAAAATGAGTAGGGGCATCCACCCCCTCTAGGCCTATAGTGGCTCTGTCCATACTTCTTGGATACCACTTACATTAAGTTTAGATGAAGAAAATAAACTTAGAATTTAGATCAAAGTTAGCCAATTCTCTTGTTTGAATTCATGGACATAAAAACTTACAATTTACGCATGGAAAAAAATTTAGGATTTGGACCTCCAATTTTTAAGTTTAAATTCCATGTAAATAGGTATTATTTCTAAATTTCTTTGAATGAGAATTTAAAAATAAAAAATTCAGTATTCAAATTCTATTGTTTTTTAGCTTAATCAAACAAGAAAATTCACAAATTATAGAAAATAAAGTTTCAATATTGTTTTTTCATAATCTTGAATTTCCTTATTCCAACAAAGCGATAGACTTCTAAAATAGAAACTAATTGGGCCACCCCACACTATTCTAATACACTAAAACAAATTATGTTGAAGTCCAAATGGATATTGGGTTGCTAAAAGTAGGCCCAAATATAGTTTAGACTCAAGAATTGAAGAATCCTAACCTGAAAATCCCATAAGCTTAAAATAGCTGCATCCCATCATTGAGCAACTAATCCCACCTTAATAATGAAATCGCACCAATGTCCCTAGGACAAGGAGTCATGTCAATCTTCAGTTTCATGTTCTTTATCTTTTGGATTACAATTTTCAATGTATATATTGTGCAAAGGAGAAGGGAAAATTGGGTTAAGCATATCCACAGTACGACAAAAATTGAAAGGAGGTTCGTCGTGCCCTTGGTTTAAAAATAAAAAAAGTTAGGAATCTTTTGGTAACTATTTTATTTTTTTAACTTTAACTTTTCACTTTTTAGAAAGCATAAAATTTGTTTGTTAATTATTTTTAGTTTTCAAAAAATAAATATTGAAAACTGAAGGCTAAATTATGAGCCTAGCGTTCAGTTTTTTATTTTCAATTTTCTTTTTCTTGAAAATTAAAAACTCGTTTAATAACAATTTTAATGTTTTCAAAAACAAACAAACAAAAAGGAAACATGAAAACAAAATGGCTATCAAATTAATTTTAAAAAAAAAATCCATGCTTTTGTTGTTATAAAGCTATGTGAAGATGTCTTTGTTTGTTTTTCGTTGACAACAGAGAACAAAGCTTTGAAACAAAACGCCTACTTAAAATTTCGTGAAGTCAAGCGACTTCAACTATATGGTGCCTAAACCATCGAAAAATGAAAGAGGAGCATTATATGGTGCTTAAAATTTAAACTCTATAGTACACGTGTGTATATATAAATGCTACATAAGGGTGGGCAAACAAACCTAAAGTCCAACCAAACCAAATGTTTGGAGTGTCAAATGACTCGTTTTACATTTCTCATAAATGTATTTTTCTTTCTAATTATAGAAAGTTTGGAGTGCTAAATGAGATTTTTGGAGTACTAATAACAATTCTCATATATATATTGATTAATTTGAACGATGTTAATTAAGCACTTGATAGCCATCTGCCGATGTTCGAAATCTTATGCCAACATATGTTGACAATTACCATGTTCTGTAGAGGCGTTTTGAGGGTGGTTGTAGGAAAACTGTGGAGTAATATTACGCTAGTCAACTGAGGCATTTTATCGAGCACTTGATAAGCACAATAGAGTCACACACAAGAAGAAAGAAAACAAGACATGTATGATAGAAGAAAATTAGAGAAATAGTAGGAGGAGGAAGAAATTATAATTTAGTTTGTTCCAACTATTTATAGAGGTCAAATACAATAAACACGGAATTTTAAAGTTGTTGGGGTCATGAATGACCAATGATCCCGTACTAACTCTGACACTGCATTTGATAACCATTTCTCTTTTTTTTTTTGCTTCTAGTTTTCGTTGATTTGAAAACTTACTTGTTAACTACTTTCAGATTTCAACTTTCAAACTGAAAAGACATTAGTTCTCGGTTTTCCTTCGAATCAGCATGCAATTAAGGTAATAAGTTAACCTTCTTTTTTCGTTAAACGAGGTAGAGTTATCTGATCCAGCTATCATGTGTTCTACCAAAATGATTAGGCATCGTTTAAGCTTTTTGTAACCCTAAAGTCGTGTGCCTACATGTTTAGGGTTTAACCCTAACTTGCCATTATTCAAAACCAAAGTTCTCACACTTTTTTGGTTTTTTTGGCTAATGCTAGAGATATTAAAATTTTAAATCAAATGATGTATCATCAATAAAAAATAAGTACGTTAATCAACGTTTAAATAATAATTCAATCATTAACAACTATATCATTTAATTTAAAAATTTTAATTTCTCTAACATTACTTTTTCCGACTAAACATTCAATAGAACTACGGGCTTGGCTTCCCTTTTTTATTAACTTTTATTTTTTGGCCGGAAAGGTTCACTTTTTCTTTTCTAAACAACTTTCTTGACGAAGACCAACCATTGCAAGCAAAAAGTCATGTTTTCTTGTCAAATATTTTGCATGAATGTTAATTATATACTTAAGTCAAATTAATTCTTAATCAATCATCCATATTGATATATTGATATTATAATATGTTATATAATCCTACAACTATATAATATTTGAATTGCATAATGTACAAATAACAAGAGTTAAGACTCTGGTGGCTCATACTGGGTCTTGTCAACCAAAACTTTATGAAATTACCAGTTTAACCTACTAATTAAGAAAGAACATGAATAATAAATATGGGGTGAAATGTAATTTCACACAACTAAAAAATTTTGTTATATTTTTTTAAAGCATCACCTACATGTAATACTAACATATCTCTAATTAAAAATAAAAATAAAAAAAACTTCCTACTCCCACATTCTCTATCACTTTCTTCCTCTCTCCTATTTCAAAAACAAAAATAAAAAATTTTCTCACACACTTTGTGTGTGCCCACATGCTAGTGTAATTAAAAAAAAACTAAATTTAACAGTTTAACATTAACATGAGCGGTAGGAAAAAAATTTCAAAACTGACGATCAAAATGTCATGCAATGCTATTAGTTCACGTGTAATATCAATGAAAATTATTATGACGACACCAAAACAATTTCTAGAGAAAATAAAGTACCAAATGGCAATTCACTATGCCATATAAGAAGTTGAGATCCTCTTTGAATCTCTGTGTCTTGAGTAGCTAAATTCGGAAATTCGGACATCTCATTTTAAGTTATGCGGTATTCATTAATCCATTCTATTGGTCCACCCTCACAGAAAATGAAGTCTTTGAAACGTCTGAATCTCTCTATTGAACGGTTCGGATTTCCAAATCTCATTACTCTAGACATAGAGATCCAAAGAGTATCTCGACTCTAATATAAGCATGATATAATCATGCCAGCAAATCATAATTAATGATGCACACAGCTGGGTCACAGTAAGCTTGGCTACTTTTCCACCGGATGACAAATATACCTGGCCTGCTTCAGTTCACTTGCTTTTGCTCGTTTCACGCAACACGCTGGTAGTGACATGTGGATATATAATACATGCTCAATACTTACATTAATCAGCTGGCTTAAAGTGGACGCAGACTAATACACTTAATTTATGTCTTTACTTTATATCACTTAATCACTTAGGTTTCGTTGGTTGATGAGGATTTTTATAGTCAAATTAGTGTTTGATGCATGCCCATACAAATATAAAGCCTATAGCATCCTATTTTGACCATTGTTCTAGAGTTTTGAGAGTTCTCTCGTTTATTCTTATAGATACAGTACATGAATTTTAATTATTGTCTTTAGAATTTAAAAGCTTGTGAATTCGCTTGTTTTGTTTTGTGCTCGTTAGTAAGGTACGTAACGTCCACGTACTTGCAAACAATTGACATGACAAATTACTTGCACTATCAAAGCTTCATATCTGTGTGTCTCTTTTAATCCATTATTCGTTTATTGATTAGTAAGTCGGTAATGCAGTTCAAAAATCCTTTTTCTTTGGCTGCTTTGCATTATTGCAGTTCCGTCCCACGTTTGGTGCGCCTAAAAACTGTGGAACGGGTTGTTCCATGGGACGAAATTTGGCTGATTTTTTGTTCCACCTCTTCCTCCCTGCAACGACCCGTTCCATATTCGTGGAACACAAATTTATAATATTTTATGACAAAATTTCTCCTTATCTTTTTCAATATTTACATCATCCGTTCTGTTTTGTCCCGTCCCGTCTTGTTCCGTCCCGTCTGCGTACCAAACGGTATCTTAACGTCTGGTTATCCAACTAAGGATAAATTTCAGTCTCTCACACAAGAGTCCTATGGTAGAAAACTGAAAAACCAGAAAACTTGAGTCTTGAGGGTCAAGCAATCTATGGTTCTTTATTTCCCTTTATTTGTGCCTGCCAGCTGATATATACTTGAAAAGCTCCATGCAGGCCCGTAAAGATAGGGACAGCTATGTACGGGCTGCTTTCATTTATTATTATTATTTTGAACAATCGGCATTATCTATATTAAAACGTGGGGAAGTAGACTAAATTTTACACTGAGTTATTCATAATAATGTTGTTCAAATTTGCCTTTAGCGATAATTGAACCTAATACATCTCACTTACAAATAGAGAGAAGTACAACTAGATTGTAATACTAAGTGACATTATCATTATTGAATTGCCTTCCAATCTCATAAATTTAGGAACACTCAACCTAATCTTGTTCATGCCTTATCTGTCTCCCTTCCTACATATCTGGTCCCTTCACTCAAAACCACAAACAATTTCAACAAATTATATGCATTATTTTGATGAATATTTGTATTAGGATTTGAGAATTTGAGCAGGCAAAATTTCAATCCAAAGCAAACCCTTAAATGAAGTAAACTTGTATTCTTTGCATGTTGAATTCATAAGATTTGATTTTAAAATTTCTTCTGTACAAGATTTTGGTTATTCGAGTGTCATCGTAAAATCAATTCCAATTATTGATGATTTTAAACAATAATGCGATAGTGTATTTATGAAAACTCACATGATAATCTGATAATGGTAGGCATTTGATCAGAAAAATTAATTACATAGCCGATTATTCGGTGGCTAAATTAAGAACCATTAATACTACAAAAATCCATGAAATCTTTTGAACCCAAGAATTTCGGAGACCAAATCCACAAAAATAAAACCGCTATATTCTCGACGGTTTGGTTTCCCGCGATCTTATATTTACTTCCTTGCCACTTTCCAACCGAAAACAAATAGGCCTGCAACCAATACAAACTTTTCTTCCCCAATTACCCCTCGTCAGTTCGTTGTCTATACAAGGCAATCCAGGTAATTTTCGGTTTTTCAGTAGCGAAATTCGTAAATGCAGCGCGCTAGTTTTTATTTTTAACGGGAGGCCACGTGGCAAAAGCCCACGCCCTTTCAGTTGTTCCCAGAGCTTAATCTGCCTAGGATATATAGGTTCTTCATTGACCCTTCGTCTCCATCTGTCGACCTTCTTCCCAGAAAAAAAATATATATATACATACACACATATAAATATGTATATTTTTATGTATGTGTGTATGTAACAGCTCCGAATTCTTAATCTTCCAGCTCTGTTCTTCGTGGTGATCCCAATTCGAAGGCATTGCTGTTACCAATTTGCCCAACATTCTGAACCCGTTTGCAGGAAAAACCCCATATTGTTGTTTCTCTGTTTCTTGCTTCGAATGCCAAAAATACCCGTTTTCTTTCCTTCCGGGTTTTCTTGAATCCGATCCTTGGCGTGGACCGGTGAGTCGAAATGTTTTAATCCCTCAGTCATTCTTTTCCTTGTTGTCGTTACATTCTCAGTCATTGTTTAAAGCTCGGTTCTTTGTTTCCTTTTTACCGAGGTTTTGTGAATTTGCAGAGTCCTCAGAGAACAAGATGTTGAGGGGGTTCCGAAAGCCGAGATTCGTCACCAAATGGTTCGTTGCAAAAAACCCAAGTCACAATTCAGTTTTTTATTTCTTAATATTTTCTTTTCATTGATTGTTACTTTTTTTTTCCTTTCTAATTTGGGTGTTTTCTGATGCAGCAAATCGGATATAAAGATGACGAAGATGCGGCTCGAGGCGATAAAGAAGAAGAGGAACGCAGTGCAGAAGTTTTTGAAGAACGATATGGCTGATCTTTTGAGCAGTGGCCTTGGCATCAATGCTTATGGCAGGGTATGTATGTTTCTGCTTAATTAATCTTGTTCTTGGTTTTTGTTTTTGATTAATTAATTAAACACATTTAACGTTAATCTTGTTTATAATTTTCTCAATTTTTGTTGATTTTATGGTCTTCTGTGGCCTGAGAAATAGGCTTGTTTCCATGCCCTGCCTTATGACTTTTTCCTTGTGTCTTTTCCTTCACCTTTTTTGGTGCATCATTTTCGGCGATGGCGGCATGTTATTGTTGCTTCCATTGAACACACAAATCCCACTTGCACAGAGATTATCTCACGGCTTCTGAAACTTGATACACAAGCTAGAACAACTGGTTGTGGCCCGGTTTTTCGTTATGCCATGGCTTGTTGTTCGTCACATGCTGGTCATCCATTTCATGCCCTCTTTTTACTCATAAATCATTCATTTGAAAGACTTGTTTAGCTTTGTCTCTATTAGTTTGCTTCCAAATGATTAACTGTGATTCTTCCTAATTACCAAGTTAACTAGGTAACTGAATAGGTTTGCTCTGTGTTTTCTTTACCTAGTTAACCCAATTACCAAGTTACCAATTATGTTGACAATAACGAGTTACATGGGCAAATGTCAAAACATTTTTTATATTAGGCGTAGGTGCAATACTTGATTTTGGATGACATTTTCTTCTGCACTGGCGTTTTGGCAAGAACGTCCACGGAAATTTAAGTTGGTAGGTCTTGGAGTGGTTAATCTTCCATCCCCTACCACATTCACATAAACCTGCTCACAATGTGATGAATTGTTGATTGCGTTGCATTTATATTGAATGAAGATTACTCGCATATTGCATCGTTGCAGATGATCCATGATTTACATATATTCTTGCGGCAGTAGTTCACTCAGAGTGCCTCAATTATTATATCTTGTTCAATGCTCTTAACGCTTCATAATTGGTGAAACAGGCTGAGGGGCTTCTAGTTGAGCAAAATATGTCCGCCTGTTACGAATCAACAGAAAACTTTCTTGGATGCATCTCGAGTCATCTGTCTCTCATGCAAAGTCAGAGGTATATGTCGCTTCCAGAATAATATGTCCTTAAGTTTTTTAGACTTTTTCTCCTTAGCCTTCATTTGTTCTACAGTGAGTGCCCTGAGGAATGCAAGGAAGCTGTTCCATCTTTGATGTACGCTGCAGCACGATTTTCTGATTTGCCAGAACTGCGTGACCTCCGAACTCTGTTTAGTGAAAAATATGGCAATTCTCTCGAACCTTTTCTGAATAAAGAGGTGATAATTCAGAACTTGCTCTTTAAGTTCTTAGTTATCGAATAATCAGACGATGCATACTTATTCTATAGGTTTGTCTCTCGTCTGACCCAATTTTCGTTTGTGCTCAGTTTGTGGAGAGGTTGAAATCAAAGCCTTCAACGAAGGAGATGAAGATTCAGTTAATGCATGACATAGCACGGGAATTCTCAATTGAATGGGATTCAAAGGCCTTGGAACAGAAACTGTATACTCCACCTGCACCAGACCAAGTAAGTCTATTTATATATCTGTTATAAATTACTTATGCTTGAAGGAATCATATGGAAATCTTAGGATCTGGCACATAGTATGAACCTTTTGGCGAACGAGGAAGGCTGAGTTATGTGTCACAATATAAGTCGTCTCAAATCATTATCCCAAGTCTGCTTAGATGCCAAACATTTCCCTCCATGTTTTCCCACGTTGTGTTTTTGTAATGCTTCGTATTGTCTCTTCTCATTGATAGTAACAGTATGACCTATTTTGCAGGGTCAGCGCAGGTATGGGTCTCCAGTTGACAGCGATAACGATATGCACAAATCACATAAAGGGCAGGATAATGCTTTCCCGAAGAGAAGAAACCAGGATGCTGGGGACAAATTAAGCCACACAACGTCTTCTACTGCATCAGTAGGAAATGAGATCGACTTGAAACCTCAGGCAAGCAAGGGTGACTCTTATGACAGATACAAGCTGCAGAGCAGCAGTGAAGATGAAACCACAACAGACGCATCCCAATCTTCCCCAAAGTATTCTTCAAGCGCAGTAGGAAGCACATCCGCAGATGAAGCAGATAACAAGAAGATGCCCTTCCACTCCAAATTTATTCCACCACCTTACTACAAACCAAGACCTGGAAAAAAGGAAAGCAGTCACGGCGAAAAGGAAACAGATCAGCCTAGCAATGTTTCAGTCGACGAAGATAATACAAAACCAAGATCAGTAAGGTGGAAAAACTTGAAACCACCACCAGGTCGTGAGGATCTTGACAGGAACGATAAAACTAGACACGGAGATGATAGTGATCCAAGGGACAAAGAAGAGAGGATAATGGACGGGCTTTTGTTGCATTACAGCAAGAAACAGTCACCCTATGAATCGAGCCAGAAGAAGGGAAATGTAGACGAGTATGATGGTGGTGAATCCACATGGAAGAGAAGCAGAAGATCTCAGCGAGAAGCTCCATCGGCCAGAGCATCATCTCTGCCACCAGAGCCAACAAGTCCAATTGAGGCACCGAGAAAGCATGGCCGAGCAGTGTCCTTGGAACCGGATGCGCATGTGCACCCAAAGCTACCGGAGTATGATGAACTGGCAGCTCGAATTGCGGCTCTTAGGGGAATATAGAAGAAAGAAAGCATTAGAAATTAAAGTGTGTCTATACGTAAAAAGTGAGTTGGTGTCATATTCTCTACCTCCTAAATCCTAATAGAAAAATATTATTAGAGTTGATAAACATTCATTAATCATTAGTTACTGGTCCTATATCAATGTAAAAATCCCCAAAGTTGCACGGTTGAACTTTAGGGTTCACAATCTAACAATACTTTAGATATAAATTCCAATTGTATATTTTATGTTTTCAGTTGTGTATTGGGGTGCAGTCAAATTATGATTTGATAAAATTTTAATATTTTAAAATTCAGGTATAGTCAATTTGAGATTTTGAAAGTATTAAAAAAAAATTAAAACCGGATATAGAAATTAGTGATACAAGTTCATAGAAATCTATAATAGAATTCCATATAAATATGTCAAAGTCCATATAAAATTGTAAAGTCCATTGAAATTCTCTAAAACCTATCACTTAAAAAAAGTCCATTAGATTCTATCATGCACAAATCACATAAGGTTCGGCTACTGCTTAATGATATGAGTTTCATACAAGATGTAATTATTGCAAAGATCAATTAAATCTCTATATTCAAGAGCTAACCGTTTATTTTTCAAGAAAAAAAATTATAAGTTGTAACATTTTTTTAAGTATTCAACCATACACTCGAGATTATGTGTTTGATTCCGTTCTCCAATATTTTTTACAAAGAAAAATATTTAAAACAAATTAATGGTATTTTTTTACATAAAAAATTATGAGGCTTTTTTTTTCCCCTCATATGGATTAGTTTGCTTATGAATTTTCAAGATGGGCTAAGCACTAATTCAGTTTTCTTTCTCGTAAACCAAAAACGGGGCGTTTAACGCCTAGAAATCGAAATCTTCCCAGAGATACACTGCAATTAGGGTTAGGGTTTGGTTTCTCAGCAATATTGGTGTGAATGGAAGAAGGTCCAATGGAGGTGACGGGGCAAATGAAGCGGAGAGATTCAGAGGAGGAAGAGCAGGTGATGAGTGAAGTGCACTTGGGCTGCCCACCTGGTTTCTGTGGCCCCCACATTTCCCACTTCACCTTCTCCATCCCACCTGGTACTGAATTTAACCTCCATAGCCTCTCCTCTGTTTCATTTTATTTATTTAGGTTTTTATTCAATGGAAAAAAAAATGCAAGCTTTAACTAGGCCTCTAACGCAATCAATTACTCATAGGATTTGAACCTGCTTCCCCAAATCAATTGATTAGCTTGGATGAGGATGGTGATCTTGTTCTTCCGAGACGCAGCAGTAAGTTTTCGGTTTTCACTTGTGGTTGTTAGTACCAAAGTTTTAAATCGCGTCATGTTGGAGGTACTGCAATACAATATCCGTTATGTAGCGGCGATGCGCGCTAACTTACCCATTAACCAAAATGTATCATGCATTTGATGGCGTACTTCAACCCTGCATACTTGTGGTGGTTGATTTTTTTTTTCATTGTATTTACCCATTAACCAAAACCAGTAATTCTTATCGAAAAATGCCACATTTCGTTCTTCAAGTTCATTTTGTTTTGTTTTCTATACAAAATTTACACGAAAAATGTGCAGAATTATCAACTTCAAGTTGCAGTGTGAGTATCCAGCATAATATCACATCGTCAATTCCAAGTGTCGGCTTGCAGGTAAATTTTGTTTGTTGTTGTTGCTGCTGTTGGTTTTGAACTTTTATTTTAAGTTTGGTTTGTTTGCTAAGTGTTTATATCGAATCTCGTTTTGCCCCTCAGGTGTGGAGGGCAGAACTTGTCTTATCTGATTTTTTGCTGCATAAGATGTTTACATCATCTGAACTCGATGGAATTGTCTGTTTAGAACTTGGTGCTGGTACAGGTACATTAATAATATATTTCTTAATGTTAACTTTTATACTGTATCTGCCAGTCAGTGACTCGTAAACACTCGTTTCAGATTAAGTCAACGTGTATTCGTGAGTTCTTAGAGATTCTAGATACTTCAAATTGTGGATAGCTGAACTGAATCATAGGAGTCATGCTAAAAACAGTCTGCGGGAGGAAAATGCTTTAATTTAGATTTATGTTCATGATTGTTTCTCAATATACCACTAAAACATATACAATTTTGTGGAGTCATACTACACATTCATTACTCATTCAAGATTTCAATGACTTTAATTTGAGACTTCACTATCTATTGGATGACAGGAATTTGAATTGATTTTTTAATCAGGGTTGGTAGGTGTATTACTTGCACGCGTTGCGAAGACAGTGTTTATAACAGGTACAAGAACCTTGTACATACTGAATTTCGTTTGCCATGTCCTTTCATCCCTCAAAATTTTTTTTTTTTTTCCATTGTAGTTTTGATACAAGTCTCTGAAACAATTTCTTTTAAAGCGGGTGCTCGATCGGTTCAGTGTATATTACTAGGATTTGATTTTTATTGATGATTGCTACGAATAGTTAGGTTGGATATACTGTATTGTTGTGTCATCCAATTCAAATTGATAGTGATACAAGGTTGCCCTCTGTGTCAGACCGTGGGAATGAAGTCCTTGACAACTGTGCCAAGAATGTCGACCTTAATTCTGAAATGTTTAGTCAACAAGCTTCTGTTCATGTACGTGAACTTGATTGGATGAATCCATGGCCCCCAAGAATAACCGTAAAAGAATCCTCCCTGGGTGAAAGGTGAAAATTATGTATCTACTTTGATTGTTTGTTGCAACTAGTTGAATTTTGAAAGATACTAAAACACATTGATTTCGGATAGTGTCTTGTACGCTGCTAATGTACTTGCTTTTCTGGTATTCTCTCATTCACGTAGCTTAACAACTTACACTATTTGTTATATCCTAACATCATTTATCGGGAAACACAAATCAAATTCTAATGATGTTACCTAGGTATTCTTGGACCTTTTCAGAAGTTGAAGCTGCCCAGGAAGCTTCTGTGCTTGTAGCTGCAGATGTAATATACAGTGATGACCTGACAGACGCATTTTTCAGCACTTTAGAGAGATTAATGCCTCTGGGATCAAAAAAGGTACAAGCCAACATGTTAGAATTGTAAAAAATAGCGAGTATAACTGCTGGGCAGAGTTTTGAGACCTTTCGTACTTGCCTTTTTTATTTTTAAAATAGGAATCCCAATTGCCTTATATACCAAAAGTTTAAGATTTGAAGCAACCGTTATATAGAGTGAGCTTGATCATGAAAAGAATGGGTGTCAATCAGAATGATAACTAGATTCCCATATTGATTTGTGACAATTCCTCGTCTGTTTCATATTGTTTAAAGTCCATCATTTAACAATAACCGGGGATTTCTTTCTATATCAGGTGTTATACTTGGCGTTGGAAAAGCGTTACAATTTCAGTCTTGACGATCTCGCCATTGTGGCAAATGGTTACTTGCATTTCCGAAGCTTTTTGCAGTTAGAGGGGGGTAAGCATTGTTCATGTATCAAGATGTACCGATATCATGATTCGTGAGCTTGTTCTATCGTTTATTTGTTCATCCTTTTGGCTTATAGTTAGTTTGGATTTTCAATAGATGGTGCAGATTGCGAAGGCCTCGAATGTGGTTCAGTGCCTTGCTTTGTGGGCAAATGCATTGACATTACACAGATTCCTCAGTATGTGAAAGAGTATGATCGAGGAAATGTTGAGCTTTGGCAAATCAAGTATAACAAAAGAAAACTGATGTAAAGTGTAAGCCGTGTAAAACCTTTTCGAGAAATGGGGAGTTTGATACTTGTGTGACTTAGTCGAATCCCCAACCGCCAACCCCTAATATTATTGTTTAGGGAACACGGTAGCGATATATTGAAAAATCAAGAAGGATTACATTCTTCTGAAATTTGGTCCATTGATCATTTTGCCCCCATTTCTTTTTCTTTCTGAAAATTGTCAAAACCATCGCCGTCAATAAAATGGCTGCAATTCAGTTTATCATCATGCATGCTTTGATTTTACTTTTGAATTGAAGGAACCCTTGCTTCTTGGTTTGATTTGGGAATGGTAGGTAGATTATCTCGGAACCCAGCTCCAGTGGTTGGAGTTGAAATTTAAATCTTAAACACTTAAAATTTAGGTTTTAATTTTAGAAATAATTTTTTTTAAATATTTCTAGCTTAAAATTATTATGTCCTACGTTTATAATTAAAGAGACTATTTTAAAATGAGATTTTTCATGGATTTTTCATCATCTCATAGTTTAATACGTATACTAATATGACTAAAAAATTATACTAAAAATATAAGATGGCAAATTTTTTATAAAAAGCTTCCTTATAAAAGAATCTACTTAATATTTATTTGTGATAAATCGTATTTTTAAATTTGACTTATCTGACCCATCATTTACGATTTGTTGACTCAGCCGCTAATTTCCAAAAACTCATCCCCGAAAGTCCGACTCCAAAATCCCAACGCCTCTTTCCTTGTTTGTCCCTTCTTCTCTCTCTCTCTCTCTCTCTCTCTCTCTCCACCAAATCACCATCTACAACCCACTTGTAATTACCAAAATAATACAATTCTTTTAAAAAAAAAGAAAGTAAAAATACAAATAAAACCGTGTGAAAAGTGACACCGTTTCCGTTGTCACTTGTCATGGAGCGAGATACACACGTCATTGTGTTGGAATATGATTTTCTTCCTTCTTTTTTCCCATCATCTTTTCTCTTTTTTTATTTAAACGGTTACGGTTAAATCATATCAATATTTTTTATTAATTTTATATAGAAAGAGAAAGACAAAATAAAGAATGTGAAATGAGGGGAGGGAAGATGATGAAAAGATGAGAGGAGAGAATGCTAGTCCCATTGTACATGTGGAAAAAACATATAAAAATCAAAGAAAAACTAATGAAAATAACTTGAAAATTTTGAGTTCTAACGATAAGAATAAAATAAAGTGTAAAGTAAATAGTAATATGATTGATATTTTAATGTAAAAATATGTTTTTTTGTTAAAATAAACACTACCAAAATTTTTTCGTTAAAGTTCTAAAAATAAATTTCATAAATTTATATAATTAACATATATCATGTCGTAGTTGCAACATAAAAAAATCTGACGTTGTCGTGAGAGCCGAATCGTGCAGGCCTGCAGTGGCTGACTCAAAAATCTGACGTTTTGCCCCTTTCCTTTTCCTCACGGAAGGAGACGCTGACTCAAAAGTAGCACCTCCAACCTCCTTCAACTCTCTCTCTCTCTCTCTCTCTCTCTCTCAACTTCCAATCAGCATCTTCTTCGATCTTCCTTGCCCGTTTCCCCAATCTCAGCTGAATAGCCAGACATGGGCTGCACCCAGTCCAAGATCGAGAACGAAGAAGCGGTCTCCCGCTGCAAAGATCGCAAGCTCTTCATGAAACAAGCCGTCTCCTTTCGTAACGCCTTCGCCGCCGCCCACTCCTCCTACGCCATCTACTTGAAGAACACCGGCGCCGCCTTAAGCGACTACGCCCAGGGCGAGGTGCTCGGTCCATACCCCCAGCCCAATTTGCCCTCCTCCGCCGCCCTCGGCCCCCCCGCCCCGCTTCCTTTTGTCGATAATCTTCCTCCGCCTCCGCCGCTCCCTAGCTTCTCCGGCTCCCCTTTACAGCGCGCCGCCAGCATGCCCGAGATCAAACCCGAACCGAAGCCCCTGCCCAAGTCCAAGCCCAAGCCCAAGCCCATCATCGAGGAGGACGAGGACGATGAGGTGATTGAGAGCGAGAGCTTGAGGCGGAGGAGCAGGAGCAGCCGGGGTAAAAGAGGGGTTGTGGAGAAAGATCACAATTCGGATGGTCCACCGCCAGTTTCATCTCCGGCTCCGCCGGTTTCGGTGGAGAGCCGGTCGGTGCCGCCGTTGCCACAGCATCGGGACAGCCCTTTTGACTACTTTTTCTCAGTGGATAATATGCCGGCGACGACGCTGGCCGACGCCGAAGAGATTGAGCGAAGGGTGTACGACGAAAGGCCGCCAACGAGAGTCGAGAGTATTGAAGAAGAGGAAGTGTTGGACGAAAGTCCGAAGAGGGTGGAAAAGGATGAAGAGGAAGAGGTAGAGAGGAGTTCGAAAGTCGAGGAGGTGGTAGTGGCGCCGCCGCCGCCTGCGGTGGCGGAGGTGGTGCCCGGGGGGTCCACTGGAAATAGCCTGAAGAAGCCGAAGGCGGCGGGGTCAAAGGGGACTGTGAATTTGGTGCAGATATTTGGGGAGCTTGATGACCATTTTCTCAAGGCTTCGGAGAGTGCCCATGATGTTTCCAAGATGTTGGAGGCCGCCCGGCTCCACTATCACTCCAATTTTGCTGATAATCGAGGTAATCTTATGATTCTGTTGTCGGGTATTGTTATGTTCGTTGGAGTAATCTTATGATGTTTTGAGACCGAAAAAGAGTAAGTCTGATGTTTGCTGGCAATTACTGTGATTACAATTGCAGGGCATATTGATCACTCTGCTAGGGTGATGCGTGTTATTACATGGAATCGGTCTTTTCGAGGATTGGCGAATGTGGATGAGGGCAAGGATGACTTCGACTTGGAAGAGCACGAAACTCACGCTACCATCTTGGATAAATTGTTGGCGTGGGAGAAAAAGCTATACGATGAAGTCAAGGTACTAAAAAACTCCCATCATTTTCTTTTTTGTTTCTTTCACTGATATCAGTATCCTGGTTTACATGCTACATTGTTCCACACAACTTTGTGAATCTGTCCCTCTTGTCGTTTGCTTCGGTTGTATTGTGGTCCTTTAAACTTTAGTAATTCTCTTCACTGATGTCAATATTCATTACTTGTGTACTGAAATCGTTTGTGGGATTGGTTGGTGGATAGGCCGGTGAGCTTATGAAATTTGAGTACCAAAAGAAGGTTGCCTCGCTGAACAGGGTGAAGAAACGGGGTAATAACTCTGAAGCATTGGAGAAGGCAAAAGCAGCCGTAAGTCATCTGCATACAAGATACATTGTTGACATGCAGTCCATGGATTCAACAGTAGCAGAGATAAACTCATTACGAGACGAACGGTTGTACCCAAAACTTGTTCAGCTTGTCGAGGGGTGAGTTTTTCTTGACAACTCCATTTATATATGAGCAGTTTCTTTATTTCAGGTTTCTTAGTTTTGGACGAGTTCCTGATTTTCGGCATCTGAATTTATTTATTGCATTTGATGATAGAGAACAATAGTCTACTTCCGCATATTGTTTGGATTGATTAGGGATTTGATAGGTGGTAAATGAGTTGTAGGTAGATTTTGCAAATAATGAATTATAGCTATATTTTCTCCCGAAAAGTTCAGTAGTTACTGGATAAGTTTTTCAGAATATAGAGTGTTCAGAATTATCTTTTGAAAGAGCAATGAAGAAAAGAAAAGAACGATATAGTCTTTAATATCTGCACTGGCATATTTGACTCGCTAAGCGTGCTATGTAGAACTAGGGATTTGGACACTGATCTATTGGATATTTTTAATGTTGGAAAGCATTCAATGTAAGCTTTCCTTTCCTCGCAACTTATGAGTGGATGGTGCTACCCTTCTCTGTGAAGACCTATAAAAATTTGTCTTGTTTATACACATTTTGAAGGAAACCTATATATGGTGACCCATCCTATTCCGTTTCTAGATCTTAATGCTTTTGCTTCCAGAGATTCTTTTATTTTGTTTTGGTTAATAAACACTCGGGGTCATTGCCTTGCCTAGGCACAGAATGGTGCCTTGGCAGAGATGGACTTTACCACCGAACTAACCTTGTGGGAGTTTAGATCTTTATACTGCTTCATTTTCAAACATAAAATTTGAAACCACTAAAATAGGACTCTCGGACTGCAGGATGACAATTATGTGGGCAACAATGCGATCTCACCATGAGACCCAATCGAATATTGCCAAAGAACTCAGGTGGTTGGACATCTCCCAATGTCCCAAGCACACAAGTGAGCACCACCATGAGCGCACGATACAACTGTTTGGTGTTGTGCAAGGGTGGCAGAGTGAGTTTGTGAAGCTTGTGAGTCAACAAAAGGAGTACATAAAGGCCCTCAACAGTTGGTTAAAACTTAATCTCATCCCCATTGAGAGCAACTTGAAGGAGAAGGTTTCTTCCCCTCCAAGAATTCAACGGCCCCCTATTCAGGGACTCCTCCTTGCGTGGCATGATCATCTTGAGAAACTTCCAGACGATGTTGCAAGAACTGCTATATACAACTTTGCTGCTGCAATCAATACTATTATGATCCACCAAGAGGAAGAAATTAAAATGAAGGAGAAATGTGAAGACACCCGGAAAGAACTTTCCCGCAAGATGAGACAGTTCCAAGAATGGTACGATAAAAATAAGCACAAGACCATTCCGGACGAAGGAGATACAGATGGGCCAGAAGGCCACACTCGAAGTGATGTGCTTGCAGAAAAGCAGTTTGCTGTGGAGATAGTGAAGAAGAGGTTAGAGGAGGAGGAGGAAACATATGAACGGCTAGGCCTTCAGGTGAGGGAGAAGTCGGTGGTAAGTCTTAAAACTCGCTTGCCAGAACTCTTTAGGGCGTTGTCGGATTTCGCCTATTCTTGTTCAGAAATGTACAGAGGCTTGAGGTCCAGATCACCCCATAATCCAAGTGAGAGCTCAGCAAGAGAATAGGTTTGTTTAAATGATTTTTTCCTGCCTATAAGTATATTTGTATCTATTACCAACTTATAAGTTTGTGCAATTTTCTTATGGGACAAAGCCCTCAAAATCATATACATAAAGTTGTTTCAATACATACTGAGAATTGTCTCTTGGTTTTGGTCATGGGGGGATTATGTTTATATTCCTTTGACTGGTGTTGACTCTCTTTGGAATGCTGACGAAGCGTTTCGGACAATGATGCAATATCGAGTCTCAACTTGGTATCGTCGTGTTCTTTCACATGGCACTGTATTATTGATTTGAGACGCTATCACGTTGGTGTTATTAGTCCATCCAAGTCATTGTCCAACTATAACCTTCCAAGTTGGTGTCAGGGAACCAGCTTTGCATTAAAGAAATTTATGAGACATGGACACTTACAGGAAGAATGTGGTTGTCTTTCTAGATACCCTTGAGCTTGGTACTTTTTCTTTAAAGAATGTGGTTCCTAATAAAGGTCACACAATCTTTTCCACCGAATTTCCTTTTCCTCGGAATACAAGCATATAACTACTTTAATTTACACTATAGGAGAGGAGAATTTAAACTCGATACGCAGTGGGTTGAAGAAGAAGACCCTAACCACCAGAACAAACCACCACCTACACCCACACACCAATATTCCAAAAAGGGGTGTGCTATCCACACATCCCATTTTACTTCTCACGTACATTTTTAATTTTCGACCGTCGGATCGGATGAATTAAAGAAGATCAACGAACATAAATTATCAAGGGGTGTGTGAGAAGTAAAATGCGGTGTGGATATCATGCCCCTTCAAAAAATACCCATAACTGTAATGTCATTAGGGGGTGTTGTCTTGTCTTATGTGGTGGATTGGTTTTTTGTTAATTTTGTCACAGAGGGTTGGAATTGTAAATTTCTTTTACTAATATCACCAATGGTTTAGATTTGTGGGCGAGTCTTTGTGCAACGGAAAGGTTGCTCTTACCAGTAGTTTAGATTTAAACGAGTCACTTGCTATTTAGTACTACAATCTGGTGGTATTCCTTTTCACTTGTAAGTGAGAGATCTTATGTTTGATTCTCGTCAAAAGCGAATTTGAACCATATTATTGCTAGCCCATTGTAAGGTTAAGACCACCCCCTTCCCCTATAATATTTCATTAGGGAATTGTTATTAGCACTCTAAAAATCTCATTTTGCACCCCGAATTATCTATAAATAGAAAGAAAAATTCACTTGTGAGTGTAGAATGAGATTTTTGGAGTGCTAATAACAGTTTGCTTTCATTAAAGGAAGTGTTTTCAGAATTATGGAAGATGTACTCTTTATATATACCTTTCTTCCTTCCAAAGAAAGAATCCAGTGGACTTAAACCGCGAAAAAGATGTATAGATGGTTGGAAACCGCACACAAGCTGATGAAAAAGAATGAGGACTGCCTTTACAGTTAGTCTACAGATGAGCTGATCCATCCAACCTAAGTTTTTGTGTAATGGCTACACTGCTTCATATGCTTTCGACGAACATCGGTGACATACGAATATGATTGTCAAGGCAACATTGGTGTTCTGCAGAACGTATTAGAATCTTATGTACAGATGTATCTTTCAATCAATAACATGTTTGATTTCGTGTCAGCAATTTGTTGAGACTTCGACTTGCACTTTGAAGAACACGATCTTCGAGCCACAGGCAAAATGGGATTTCTCAAAAAATGTCGTCGAGTCATCCCAAGCAGCAAAATCCCATTCTTCTTCTGTCGCGTGTTTCGCTGTTTAGATTCACTCTGGCAGGCTTTGCGGGAGCAGCTTTTGCCAATCTCTTCGCTGCATAGGTGGAAAGGAAAAGAACCGTCTAAGCGTTGTCCGAATTTCAAAAACCAGGCTAGAATGCAAAACTGTAAATGAAATTTTCCGAATGTCAATAGGCCGTGATCCTAAGTCATTTCTAAGTCATTTCGAGTAATACAACCCTACACGAACAAGCAGCTCACGTCTCATATGATATGAGCCTTTGGGATCAACCTGCTATCCTAGTTCCTAGGCACTGATATAACAGAAACACATCTTTCTTCCGGATAATAAACCTAAATTTTACCTATTTCATGGAAAAGCTCGTTAATGTTCTGCGCGGTTTTGGCTGATGTTTCCAAGAAAAACATCCCGTTCTCTTGAGCAAATTGCTCCCCTTCCTGCAACCCAATTACAAGAAAAATCAGACGGTGACCTGTGATCTGTATACAACTTTTGATTGAACAAACAGCGTAACATTTAATGTGCATTCCTAAAAAAGTCATGCAGAAGGAAAGCGAAAGAGAATGGGAAATTGTGGAGAAGCTGTTGGAAATACCTCACTCTCGACCTCCCTTTTTGCCTCCAAGTCGCACTTATTTGCAACCAATGCCAACACCAAGTTTAAATTCCCTAGAGAATGCGATAAATAATAGATCATCTTTCAAGAACAGCTCGAGATCATTCTAAAATAAGCACACAATACTGATAACGAATCATTTTCGAAGTGCAACTAAAAAAATCATCCCAAAACAGACTTACTACTTTAATATATAACGTAGGATACACAGAGATGTATGCAATACAAGAGCTAAACCAGGTTGTTTCAGAATGTACTAGCTAGCCAGAGAAAAGCAATCAAAATTTTGACAGCGGAGGGCACGCGAAAGAGAGGTATCGAGGCCTGCCACAGATTTAATAATACAAGCAACACAGTTTTAGACCATGGAAGGTGACAAATAGCCCGAAAGATTCGGATGAGAATAGGAACTAAATAGGAGGTTCTGAAAAGCAAGGTTTGTTCCACCCTTTATGCATGACATCTGCATAGGGCAACACATACGGAAACAGTAAGCAACGGAACACTACTAGTCTAGTAAGTAATGTATATCACATATCTGATGAAATATTTGCAAAATATACAGAAGTTTGGATTTAACTAAAGCATATTAGGAAGATTATATAATTATCAGTATCTTAAGACAAGAGAAGAGGTAAATCATTTTTAATAATTTGACTATTTGGTTTTTACTATTGGAAACAGAGTCTAGGAAAGGAAAAACATGATACGAACACTGGTTTACCTTGCCTCTGCAATTCTTGAACCCATTTTTTGGCTCGAGTAAATGTCTCCTGGGGACAATGCAAAATACTAATCAGAGAACCATAGATATTCACAAGCTAATCAGAGAGAGAGAGAGAACTGCATGCATTCAGTCTTCTAAAATGTGCAACTTTTGGTATCTTATAAGTGGAAATTAATTCCTAGCTAAGTACCGTGCTTGAGATGTCATACACGACTACAGCTGCTGCTGCACCACGATAGTACATAGGAGCCAAGCTATGGTATCGTTCTTGTCCTGCGGTGTCCCATATATCAAACTTCACAGTGGCTTCACTTAAAGACAGTATTTGAGTGAAAAAAGCTGCTCCTATCGTTGGTTCCTGCATCACAGATAAGCACCGAGGTGCTCCCTTGTGAAACACATAAATCGGGAAAAGGAAAGATTATGTCGAAAATACAAGAGATCAACAAAAACCTGGTTATCGAAGAACTGGCCTTTGACAAATCTTAACACCAAGCTGGTTTTCCCAGTTCCCATGTCCCCTAGAAGCACCTGAAAAGGAAACATTCAAGAAATTTAGAAATAAGCTGTGTCTTTGTGAGACGATTCCACTAATATTGTTTGCACTACATGTAAATACAACTGCAAATAAGAATAAACATTTTTCTACATCGTTCGGTACTAAAAATGTGTGATTACAAATGCAGATAAAAAATCCGATCCTAAAACTAAAAGACGGTCTGGAGTAACAAAATGGCACACCTAGAAATGCTGCTCTGCTCGAAATCCTGATAGAGCCAACATAACTAAATGTTTAGCTAGTAAATGAACCACCGCAAGCGTTCGAACAAGGAAGCTTTATCATTTTTATGGGAGTCTCCATAGTTTTATTGTATCAACTAGGAAATCGAAGCGGTAGAATACGGAATACCTGATATCCCATTACATCAGACTATACAATTTACATCAAACTTATGTGGGGTTGAATCTTTCCAGTATGCAGTTGGAAGAAAGTGTATACACACACACACACACACAATTGACATCCCATAGCTTCATTTGGATAGTCACAGAAGTTACATCAAACTTATGTGGGGTTGAATCTTTCCAGTATGCAGTTGGAAGAAAGTGTATACACACACACACACACACAATTGACATCAAATTTTGGAAGAAAGTGTATATACACACACACACACACAATTGACATCAAATTTTGTATTCTGGGTAATATATAAGATTAAGATTCTTGAGCTAAGCAATTGCAAATAGAACCCTTCAGATTCTCATGAAAATCTCTGCACACATTAGTCTTTTGTAATGATAGATTGCAGCTGAAGGGAACAGAGGCAAAAGATATAGAAAAAAAATACAGAAGTAAAAGAATTGGAAATAAAAGAGAGGGTAAGACATACCCACCAGTTTGGCTTGTATGATCTTGTTGCCAGGCCTCGCCATTGGAGCACTACTTTGATCAAAATTGTAGCAGCTTTTGAGGGGGAGAGAGAAGCTGTTGCAATAAAAGTGACAAGAAATTTTGTGTGGATTTTCCAAGAAAATTAATAGATGAAGAAACTGGAAAGATGACAAAGAAGAGAGAGCACTCAGACAATCCCACAAGTAGTAGACTGGTTGTTGTATTGACTGGTAGTTTTATTGCATTTTGCACTTCTCCAATCTCAAATCTCATTGATTGACCCTTTTTTCCTCAAATGATAGATAGATTTTATTAATAATCAAATGTGAATCGATACATGCTATCGGCGAGGGATTGAGAAGTCATATTGGCTCCCAATCAACCCACTGATACACTTATTTCTCTTTAAAAACATACGCAAACGCACAAGAAGTAACAACAGATTTGTATAAAAAACCATCAGACTCCCTCACTCCGAATATTCTCTCTACTTCCGTAATCTAAACACTTAAATTCTCTTACTCGCTACTTGAGTCTAAAATCATTTACTAACTCGACCATCGGAGAGCTTTTGGCCGGCACAACCCCGATTTGCTTTTGGCCGGCACAACCCCGATTTTAGGCTTGCTCACGGTTATGTACTTTTTTGCAAGTTGCTCGAGTTTGTGCACAGCCACAATTCATGGCTGTGCGCGAATTTGGTTCCAACACACAACACGAAATAACAAGTTTTAGGTTAACATGACAACTAATTGAATCGTTATCAGGTTTCTTCTTATGAACCTGTTAATAACGGGTACTTAATGGCTTTACACGTGGGTAACCCATTTCAACCAGTTGAGAAAAAAAGTTAGTTTGATAATTTTAAATTACTAAGAAAACCGTACTAGTTACTACAATAACCATAGTACTTCATCTTACATAAGTGAGATTAAAAATAGGAAAAATTATACATAGATTATACTTTTAATACTTAATTGTAGAAGACGAGTTGAATTGATTATGCAAAAATGATAGAGGACGGGTTGAACTGATTTTACAAAATGGTGGGTTTAATTGATTCTGCAAAAATGGCCAATGACTTATTGAACTAATTCTGCAAAAATGGTCGATGACTGATTAAACTGATTTGCAAAAAAGGTCGAGAACATGTTGAACCGATTCTGCAAAAATGGTCGATGACTGATTAAACTGATTTGCAAAAAAGGTCGAGAACGGGTTGAACTGATTTTGCAAAAAAAGTTGAAGACGAGTTGATCTAATTCTGCAAAAATTATGATGGACAGGTTGAACTGATTATGTGAAAAAAGTGGGTTGAATTGATTATGCAAAAATGGTCGATGACTGATTGAATTGATTATGCAAAAAAGGTCGAGGACGGGTTGAACTGATTTTGTAAAAATGGTCAAAGACGGGTAGAACTAATTCTGCGAAAATGGTCGAAGACTGATTGAACTGATTTTGCACAAATAGTCAAGGATGGGTTGAGCTTACAGTACATATTAATTTTGTTGGAGTTGTGTGGGTTGGGTTCTATAACAACCCTAAAGCCTTAGGGGTACGACTAGTATTTTAAAACATTGTTTTGATGTTTTTGGGCTGAGCTTTAGTTGTTTTTATGTTTTTGTCTCTCATTAACATGTTTAAAAACTAGTTGAGTTTCTTGAAATATAATGAATTTTTTTGTCTCTATATATAAATCTCCCTTAAAAATACAAAGCAATTTAAAAATACCAAAGCGCATTAAAACATTCATAAAAATTCATTTACAAGTGTGAAAAATGTGAATAGAATATGCACACACTCATGATTGCATCTTCTACGCTTTAACGATGTGTACATTATCGTTTAAATTTTTAAAACCCTCCAAAATCTCATGAATACTTTTTTTAATTGAGTGCAAAATTAATAAAAGTTTCATAATAATTCATGTAGAAGTGTGCAAAATGTAAAAAGAATATATAATCGCTCATAATGACAAGCTCTACAACTTTTGTGAATGGCTTAACTCCGAAATCCGACATGATAATACATAAACCCTAGATTTATATTTAACCGTCTATTGTCGTTTACGCTCTATTCTTCTCACCAAATTTCATTTTTCAAACTTACTTTTTGAAAACATCATCTTTTAGCGGATGCAGAAAAATGAACAGTTTCGATCATTGTTATCACGTTCCGATGTTTACATCTAACTGAAATATGGTTCAATGTTATATAGTTTCTAGAGAGTTTATGATCTTCGAGCAATATTTTCACTAACCGTAAAAATATGAACGTGATATCAACGATTCGAACCATTCATCTTTTTACATATGCTAAAAGGTCATGTTTTCAAAAGAGAAAATCTGAAAAATGAAATTTGTTGTGAAGAATGGAGCGTAAACGTAAACGACAATCAATGGTTAAGTTTAAATCAATGGTTAACTATTAAAAAAAAAACGTCACTACAATAATAGCCATAGGATTTAATCTCAGTTATGTGAGAATAAATCCTTACCGTTGAATTTTTTATCTCACTTACATGATTATATCTGATATGACTGATATCTCTCTTTCATTCTTTCCCTTGGTGATTGATGCTTGATGAAGACTGAGATTAAGCTAAAGTTCCAATAACATTTTCCTTGGTGATTGATGAAAATTGCAGGATTTTCTTGTCAAAAAAAAGTGCAAGGTTTGAGTCTTGTTGGCAATGTTTTGACTTTTGAGAAAGGTTCCACAACCTTAACAAAAAAACTCCCTTCATTTTGCATATCCTCGAACATTTGATATTTTGTAGTAATGTACTAATCTAACGTTTTTTCATTAGGTTGTTATTTTGGCGTATGTAATACTTGAAAGACAAATGTATTTTTTTATGTTTTGACATAATATTTATGTGACAATGTGGTATGTAGATACTAATTTAGCATTATGTTTTTCATTTGATTATTTATTGATTTAAATATATTTTCTTTAACGAGTAACGGATCATGTCATATTACATGTTAATATTCACGGGTAAATTTCAGGTCGAGTCATATTACATGTTTATTTTAACGAGTGTTACACGACACGACTCTTTAAGATATCGAGTATGTCACAAAAATGACACGAACATAGAAAACACGACATGAATCCTTTATGTAAAGGGATCCTCATTTTTTAGTTGTGGGACCCACTCCACATCAAACTTCAACTATTCGAACCATCTATTTTGTAAGTCTCGATTAATAGATTAACATTGCAAAAATGCAATTAAATCTGAAACTATTTGCCTATTTAATTATCACGATGAAATTTCATTGTTTCATATGAAACAAAACATTCGCTAATTTCTTGGAACTCAATTAGATGTCTTAAATCATTCCAATTAGGCTAATATCTTACAAGATGATCTATGAGATGTAACTTGAAAAAAAAGTCGGTTTGGATCATTGAAGTTTATGTGGTCTGAGCCCCACAACTAATCCCTATTAATTAAATAAAAGGTAAATTACATTTTACCCCCTTGTTTGCATCCAATTGCAACTTCATACAACATCTTTAAAACATTTCAATATCATACATTTATTATTATTTTATTTCAATATAATATAACCGTTAGTCAATTCGTTAACTTGATTATTAAGTGGTAATGTGGCAAATCTGAAACTTACTTTTATGCTAACATGGATGCCACATAAGCCAAAAAAACCAAAAACTCAAAACTCAAAAAAAATAAAAAAATAAAAAAAATAAAATCGTTTAAAAGTAAAATAATTTAAACCATCCCCACTCTTCTTCCCACTCCATCCGTCCCCTCCCCCACCCATTTTTTCCTTCCCTCACCGCCAGAACCACAACCAATTCCCCCACCACCTTCTTCTCCGGCCGAATTCGGCATTCTTTGATTTTGATAAATGTAATTTATCCAAAAAAATAGAGAGAGACATCTCCATCCAAGAAAATCAACAAGCAAACTAAAACCACAAACATTATAGGCAAACAAAAAACCCAGAGGCCCTCATTCTCTCTAAAAAGCTCCATATTTTCTGCACATTTTTGGGTAAAAACTGTAAAACCAATCATGGAATGGACACAATAAGCCGCATTTCTTGGATTCCAGTACACAATTCAAATTTCTAGCCATATATTCAACGACCCCAAGTAGAGGGATTTTACCAGAGAAAGCAAGAACACTAAGATGGGTGAATCGGCCTGCCTGAGGAGATCGTTCTCCGAGATGGGTGAATCGGCCTGCCTGAGGAGATCGTTCTCCGACCCTTCGGAGTGTTCCACTGAAATAATTTAAAATGTTGTATAAAGTTGCAATTATATTTAAATTTGAGGAGGTAAAATATAATTTACTCAAAAAACAATTTGAAGATCTCTTCTTTTAAAGCCTCCCCGACACGAATGCCAAGTTCATCACCTAACGGATTATGGAGCTTAAATCGAAAGGATCCGAGTTTGTGTCGGTGGGTGGGCTTTTGGGGAAAGCTTGCAACAATGCCCTCGCCATTGTGTTGGTGGGAAAGGGCCCTCCTTGGATTCCTTCCGTATGAGCCAATTGAGCATAAAATCTAATTTCTTAAAATTTGATCTAATGGTTAAGAAAGGGAGTTCCATTAAAATTTATAATAACTTTAATCGTTAAATTAAATTTTAAGAGCCTGAATTTTGTACTCAGTTAACTCAGGTAGAAGAGATCCGGAAAAAGCCATTTCCGTGTTGGTGGGATAAATTTCAAACTTCTGTGTAGAGGTTGGGGCACATCGCCCAAATATGCAATAATTATTCGAGTTTGAATTGCCAAGTTTTGCTTAGGTGGTAGACCAAATTTAATTGAACTACTTAGTGATACAGTCTAATAGTAGTCTTCTTTATTTATAAGTAAATGTTATTAGGTTCAATTCTCGTAAAAAATAAATTTAAATCATATTATTGTTATCTTATTATAAAGTTTAACCCATTAATTCACCATTTTAATGAAGATAATACGTTTGTTCAAAAAAATATTTAAAATCTTTAGAGATGCTCTAACAAAGCATAAAATAAAAAGGACGGTTGAGAAATAACTAGGAAGCACCAACTCTACCCCACCTGAGTTTCCCAAACATTCAAACGAAAAGCCTCAAAAGAGCAACCAAACAAACAAACGGTACAAGCCCCACAACTCATCTTCCACTTCACGCTCCCCACCACCACCCCCATGCCCATGGCCACCCCCCGCTCAGAACCACCACCACCCCAACCATGCACCCCATTACTCGCCGACCAAAACTACGTCGTTCTATCACCACCATCTTGTTCTCACTCCCAACGACGGCGCACAACTATCCTAGCCACTACTCTCATACTTACACTCCTAGCCGCCACCTTCTCCGCCTTCCTCCTCTGGCCGTCCGAACCCTCCCTGAAGATCGTACGGCTTCGGCTTAACAAGGTTCAAGTCCACACGCGGCCACGAGTGACCATCGACGTGTCCATGTCGGTGACGATTAAGGTCCAGAACGTTGACGTTTACGCGATGGACTACGAGGCGCTGGAGGTGGCGGTTGGGTACAGAGGGAGGAGGCTGGGGCACGCGACGTTCCAGCAGGGTTACGTGCGGGCGCTTGGCTCGTCGTACTTGGACGCGGAGGTGGAGTTTAATGAGGTCGGGGTGTTTTCCGACGTGGTGCTCCTGCTTGAGGACTTGGCTAAGGGAACGGTGCCGTTTGACACAGTCACGGAGGTCCAAGGGCGGCTCGGCTTCTTGTTTTTTCAGTTCCCCTTGCAGGTACGTATGTTAGGTAACGTTAATTAATTAATTTTGTGGATTAAGATTTAATCAATTCATGGTTAAGGAAAGAGAGAAAGGCTTGAAGTGATGTTTTGGTTTGCCACAATTGACAGGCAAGAGTTTCGTGTGAAGTTATGGTGAATACAGTAAATCAGACAATTTTTCGTCATAATTGCTATGAGGTGAGCATGCAATTTGATTAATCTTATATAGAGGAGAAATATTTGTGTGTTAATTTGAACTTTTTTTTAGGCGAAGTTCTTTTGTTACTAATTTACGTTAATTTTATCACATCAATCGATAAATATACACGTATTATAAAATGAATGAATTGATCAATCAAGTATAAGCAATATTATAATCAGAACGAAAAAGTTCTCGTTAGTTCGCTCAAGTCTGCAACAATTTGGATTAGTGTTAAATCATAAAATGTGTGTTTGTGTGTGTGTGTACATCTTCTAATCTTCAATATTTATTTATTCCCGCAGTGATGAATCGCATATATGCATTTGCAGCACAAGAAGCTTCAATGGGTCAGTGTATATATGTTGAATGTACATATGTATAGCATTAGCTAGAGTTATAATTTTGTGTGTAAAATAAATCTCTATTGCAATTCAAAAGTATAAACCCTTTTTATTTGCTTCGATTCGTTGGCTACGGACTAACTTGGATTGGTTGACAAATTTTCTGACTGAAATTCCACTCCAACCACTTAGGAAGAAAGAGATTTCTCCATTTTTACGTCATTCATAATTCGATGAAAATTTGTGGTTGAATTCTTTTGATAAGGGTAGAGATACCCTAGGTTAAATTGAATTGCATTTCAAAACCTAACTTAAACTCGATAGCTTCTCTTTGAGATATGAACTCTCTTACCTAAAAACATGGTTAGTGATCTTTTTAGCACACATTTTTTTTTTTTAAGAAATGATATTATCTACAAAGGGGGAGGGGGAGCTTAGCCTCACAATAGGCTAGAAATAATATGGTTCAAATTTTCCTTTAACGAGAATCGAACCTAAGAATTCTCACTTACAAATGAAGAGGCATACCACTACTCTTTTAGCCTTCTACGCTTTGCAGTGAAAATATCTCTATCTAACAACCTTCCACAAGATTTTGTAACAGTTATTGGGCCAAGCAACCTACACTGGTGCACAAACCAACATGAAAGTCCCAATAGGAGTGCAACTCGTGCGAATTAGGCAAATTTGAAGGTCAACTAAACTCTAACTCATCCATTTTTATTTTTTTATTTTTTTAAAGAACTCTAACTCATCCTTTACGATTTGTGTTTGGATTTCATCGACTTGGAAAAAATGTGAATCCAACCCAACCAAAGGCGAGCTGGGGTTGATTATCTGGGTCGTAGTAAAGTACGCATAATCTACTCTATTAGAATAACAAGTAAATTATACTATCAAACTACAAACTTAATGTTGTTATTCAAAAACATTACAAACATATATATATATATATGAACAACCACTTAATACAAATAATGTTACTTCTAGAGTCTAAAGCATAAGCGTAATAAAGGCCAAAATTTTACAAATACAATATATATCAGAATTCGAATTACAAATGAGGATGGGTTCAGGCGGCCAAGACCTCAACCTAATCCAACTTAAAAATGATGAAGTTGAGGTCGAGTTAACTTGAGACAATGTTCTATCTAATTTGAAATCTGAACTCGCTTGACCAGTTTAAAAGTAGAATTGAATTTGGATATGTATTGATTGGCCCATCCTAAAGTTGCATTTCTATCTCAATATATAAAAGAAATTGGGTGTCGATTGGGCTGGACCTTCTATTATCCTTTGGTTCTTGACTAGTGGCTTATCTATTATTCCACTTCGGTACAAATGGAGCAAATGCAAAGGCATGTTTCAATACTCTGAGCAAAGAGGTGTCCTTTTATGTGCCAACACAATAAATACTCGTTCACTCTTTTAGGAACTTCTACTTCTACTAATTAATTTTCAGTCCAACCATTTTCCAACCGAAATGATTAAATATAATCATGTCCATAATTATAGTCGTGCAAAATATTATTTTTAAATGAACTGTGTCAAGCACTACTCATATACCATCTAACCGAATGAGTTAAATATAGTCCCCTCAATAATTTGTTAGTTTTCAGTTTATACTTTAAATTTATTAGTTAATTTGATTAAACTACATTTGGATGTTTTCAAATCTAACCGTTCAATTTGAATTAATTATTGCAACTTAGGAGTTGGGCTCGGAAAAAGGGGTTAAGTCCATCTCCAACCGAAGGCTGGCCAGATGGCTCGTTTTAGCCATCTGGCCCTCCAAGATATTAATATTTTAATGAACAGTACATGACCATATTTGTCTTCAGCCAAAGGGCCAGATGGCTCATTTTAGCCCTGTCACAAAAAACCATCTCCAACTAAGGGTCAAAGGGCTATAATATGAAATGTGAAGAATTGAAATAAAATGAGGTAAGACAGTATGAAATAGTGAAAAAATATATGAGAAATGGTGTAGGAAAAAAAATTAGAAATTAAAAAAAAAAGGGTTGACACCAAAAATTGAGGGCCCTAAAATGAGCTGGGCAAGTGAAAAGAAAAAAAAAAAAATTCAAAGTGGGGTCCTTTGGCCCGTTCAGATTCCGTGGGGCTCACGAGCCCTCTGGCCTAACCCTCGGTTGGAGACAGTTTTCGGGCTATTTTTGGCCCTCTGGACCCTTCGGTTGGAGATGGCTTAAGAGGTGAGCTATATTTGGCCAGCCTGATACCCTTTTGGCCAAATAATGATTTGATGTACTCCATAGAACTATAACCCAACATTCAGTAATGAGTTTTTAGGCAAATTTATCAGACCATGTTTTGGCTTTTGGACCTTTAGCCGGAGATGGCTTAATGGATGCAGGCAAAAAAACATGATAAATACAAAGCCTCAGACTCAGAGTGTGTTCCCCCTCCACCATAAATAGCACCAGATACATCATGCACTTAAACCCTTCTATAAAAAGACCAAGACACCACCAGCTTTAGTTTCAGTTCTCTCTCTCTCTCTCTCGATGGACCTTCACATTTGGCGCAACTCAGTGATTTCAAACATCCAAACCGTTGCCAAAATTGGGTCTGGGAGCATGGTGTCTCTCAGCGAGCTGGTACTTAGTGCAGATCAAACCAAGATTAACATGCCGATTAATATTAGGTGGAAAGTTTTGTGGAAAAGAATAAAGAAGGAGAAGAAAAGGACGTTGCAGCTGTTTGATTGCTCGACTAGCACTCAGGTCGTGCATGTTCCTTACGATCCTTATACGTATTCCAAGAATTTCGATCAGGGTTCGGCGGCTTGGGCAGATCCAGACGTTCTTCGAGGTCTTTTTCTGCTAGGTTTGCTGTTCCTTGTCAAGTTTTCCATCAGCCTGCTCAGAACGTTGGCTGATGGAAAATTACAAATTGTGGTTTGGTGTTTGATTTCTTCTAGTTCGGTTCAGCTGGCTTTGCTTCTCTCTCTCTCTCTCTCTCTCAAGTTTTTGCTTCTAATTACTGTATTAGCTTTGGAGTTGAGAAATATAAGAAATATGTAGTACATTTTCTCTTCACGGTTTATTTATTTATTATTAAGAGAAACTTCATTAAAAGAGGAACACGAGAAGTTGAAGCAATCCATTAAATCAAACTTATTTAAGTTCTTCTTCGCATTATATAATTCATCAAATCAAACTTATTAAACTTTATTTACCCCTTAAAAAGCATGATATACATGCTGTTAATTAATTGGGAATAATATATTTAATCTTCCAGTTTGAATTATTGATGCTCTTGCATCTAGTACTTTCTTTGTTTTTTTCTATTCACGCACCATTTTTTACTTCTTATACACCTCTTGTTAATTTACGTTTTTTAATTTTCTTCAATTTAATTATTAAAATTAAAATAGTATGTAAAAAATAAAAAATAAAATGTAAATATCACACCTCTTTCATGAATACTCTGGTTAATTAACTGTCAGGTTTTCAATTAAAAATATAAAAATAAAAATTTAACTGTAAAAAAATCCGAAACACCCCGAGTACGCGAGCACCAAGAATTTTGCGATTGCAAACCTGCTGCTGCTTTTTTGGACTGCTGACAGAATTACTTTTCACTAGGGTGCTCCATAAGAACCAACAAAAGTATTAAATGGCTTCTTACTTTGTGTGGCACCTACCAACATCTAATGCATGTAGTACAAAAATTAGATAGATATACATATAATATAAACATACATTTATTTGTTAGAATGATTTATATACAAGGGGTTTACTTTCACTTGATGTTCCGATTAAATAATGCATTGTAAAAATTTATCTACGTATTAATATATTATTGAACTGAAATGTTAGTATGACTGTAAATTAATTTCATGTAAGTTTCTCTTTACAACTGAATTTGACAATATGGTCACTGTTGAATTGAAAAAAAAAAAAAGGGTTTCTTCTCTCAAAATTGTTCAAACCAAAAGTATAAGTAGGGAATCCAAGGCATTGATTGCCACAACCACATCTATGCAATTTGGCACATCTGTTATTCTAAAGATTTCAGAATAGCTTCAATATTACGTATCACTTAGTGTTATGAATTAGATTTAATTATCATAATTGTTAAATCTTTTATTTTGATTTTATCATTTTTACGGACAATTTAAAAAGAATGGAATTATTGATAAAAACAAAATTAAGGCTTCAAACGGTTAGGCTTGAATAGACAATATAATTTAGAGAAGTTAGCTAGGATGTTCTGCATTAATTGGAAATCATGGTTTCAAGCAGCATAGACCAAAATGCTGCCGCCATAACATCCTCAAAAGGAGCCAAATTATGAACTGAAAAAGTAGACACCAAATTTAAGTCTATTTCCCGAACCCTGCAAATATATACAAAGAAAGTACGTTATGGATAGAGAGTTAGGTTAAGGGGTATGTAAAATACTCTTACTATAGCGAAGGCCACATAACACTTAGCCTCGATGGGAATCCAACATGCCGGTTGGGGGAGGGGACGTAAGGGAGGGAAGTGGATCTAATATTCAATTTTTGATCAGAGCCTGCAGATCCGAGCACACGATGGGGGTGGGGATAGAATATCACGGCTAAGGAGGAGGGAGGACAGAAAAGTAAAGGGCAGAAAGCAGTAAAAATAGGAGAAAACTTCGAATAAGGGGCATGAAGCCAAATATAAGACAAGCTTAGGGAAATTGAGACCAAGCTCAAGGAAAACTGGAAAGGGGGAAGGAAGAAGAGGAAGGCAAAGGAGATGAAAGGGAAAGAGGAAGGGTGTAGCGGGTTGTGAGGAGGGAAGGAGGAGAAGGGGGTTGTTGGGAGAGGAAAAGGGCATAGGAGATGGGAAAGAAATAGGAAGGGTATAGCCGGCTGGGAGGAGGGAAAAAGGGGTTGCCACCGGCACTCGAGCTAGCCCAAGGCTAGGGCGGGCGACAAAGAAGCTTCTGGGTTTGTGTTTCAGCAGAAGAGAGAGAGAGAGAGAGAGAGAGAGAGCTTTTACCTTATTATATGCTCATTATTACATTTCAACCAGGTTTTAACAGTTTACACATTTTAAATGATATAAAACATAGGTGATTTCAACAGTTAAACCACATCACATAGTGGGATAGCTCTAAGAC